GATCCTTATCAGTGTCGTAGATATAATAGGTCTGTAGCGGTAATAGTTTGTTGCGATCCGTAAGATTCGTTGGATACCTAATTTGTACGCCAAAACAGGGAAGAATAATTAGGGTGGTAAATGACGTTGTCACTATAATGGATCCAAAAATGATTAGAAACCGTGCAATTCGTGCTTGTTTTATCATTACGTCCCTCTCCGTGCTTAATTTTGTCGCTGTCCAATCTTCTGCCATTGTTTCTACGATGGTTAATACGACTTGAAAATATAAAAAAAATAAGCAATATTGTTATATTGTAAAAATTTTTAACTTAGTAATTATTTATATATGTACAAAATAAAGCACAAATTTTTATATTAATTTTAATTCTTATTTTTATATCTTGCATTATTTTATTTATTTGAACATGTATTGTACAATTCGTGTCAATGGCTTCTAAAGATGAAAGCCTAATTAATGTAAGAAGTGATGTAAATCGTTTATAAATTTTTATTTCAATCCGATGTGTGACTGTAGAAATAAATCGAGCATTCAAGGGAATTTACGAAGACAATTAAATGTGAACACTTTACATCAAATAATTCTAAACATACCTGTTTGTTTCCATCGCATAATAACAAATTCTAATAAAATCGTCAAAACAGGTATTGTAAGACGTAAATTGTCTATCATTAGCGCCATATTGCCCCAAACACGTATAAGCGCATGTACAAAAGGAATAGAAACAATAGCTGTCATAATGAAAGCAAATCCCATACGAATGTCAGAATTGAAACTTCTTTTAGTTCCATTGGTTTTTGGCCATAAGCCGACCAATTCTAAACTCAGGCGGTTTTTTGATTGCCCACATAAAATCTTTCAAGCAAGATTTTTTTAAGTAACTCAGTAATAACAAAATTTTAAATAATAGAAAGAGTATATACATATAACAAATATATATTATTAATATAATTCTAACTTAAAAACATGTTAGAATCGTAATGTATGCTATAAGTAGAAAAATGTATAATAGGCTCGTACCTTTGTAACCTGAAGATTTTGATATGTCCATGTCAAAGATTAACGTGTATATGTTGAAGAGGGGTTGATTGTCGTATCCTTTCCATCCTATAATGAGATGACTATCACGCATGCTCGCAAAACGAGTGCAATAACCTGATCGCTTCCTCGGAAGATTCATTAAATATTCAAGATGCTACTTTCAGTTGCTAACAAGTTGCCTGTTTTGTAAAAAACTTTATGACTATAAGAATAGTTACGAACATCTGTTTTTTAAAAGGCGGGAAGTATATTCTGTTACTATATATCATCAACGTGTATTAAAAGTTTTTTTTTTTTTTTACTTTATGATGTTTCAGAAATGTGCGTTTTTGAAGTTACAATGCCACGTAATTGCATGTTATGTAGTGGAAAAAGTTTTCTGCGTATAGCAAAAAGCTGCATCAAAAGAGAAAAAAAATTATAACAGAAGGTATAGAATATTACTTCACATTTCGTATATATTCGGTGCGAAATATATATATATATATATATGATGTAATAAGTGCAGTACAGTGGACGAGTAAAAATTCTAAAATTAAAAGTTTCTTTGTTCTCTGTACGCGAAAAACGTTATACATATCTATAGAGTCTTTCTCGAACTATTCTTTTAACATTATTATGTTTGTAATTTTTAAATAAAAAATATAATATAAAGACACATAGGTTTAAATGATGCGTATGCATATGTATATGAATATCGAATGAAAAGCTGACTTCTAATCTTATATAGTTATTTTTAAAAAAATACATATATATATATATATATATATATAGTTTATGAGGTATACATACATGTAAATGTTGGAATTTTTTCTTGACGTAAGATTTTTTATATAAAGCCTTATTTTTTCTTCCTCTGTTATTTGTTTGATAAAATCTTCAAAAATAATATATTGTCAATTTTAGAGCAACAATTTGAAAAATGTTACGATTTATTATTATTGTGTAAAATTTGATACAACTTGACTAGCTTCTTCTCGAAAATTGTGCTTTTTTGCAAATACTGACTGGTAAGATTTAATAATTTTTGTAGAATCCACACAATATTAAATTCATCTTACAATATTAAGATTTGGTAAGCTACAAAACAAATTTCTGTAATCGTTTCTTTAAGAAGCACAAAAACAAGTAACAATAAAAATAAGTTTTAAACATTAAGATTCACTTTTTTTGCATTGAGAAGAAAGTAACTCATGAATCATGAATTCTTGTCAAAACATTATTGCCATAAACATATACTCGCACGATAATATATTTTACAACAAATATCATATACATCGAAGTATAAAACTTTACTTCTACAATAATATTATAACATAATTTCCATTTTCTTGAATTCAAAACGATAATACATATATTAGCATATGATTTTCAATTCCGCATTGCTAGCAAAACAGAAATATAACCAGCTGTTGTTTTTAATAGCTGAAAATAATATGATATAAATATCATTATTCAAAAAAAGAGATTATATAAGAATAAAATAATAATTTTTACGAAAAGTATGTGATAATATTAACCTGTTTCGTTTTATTTATATTTGTTACAAATAGTTTCTTAATTTACATGAATATTCGAAAATTTATCATGGCATTGAAGTGTAATAGCAAGATAATAAATATAACAACAAAAGAATTATAATAAAATATTTGTTAAAAGCTTAGCAGTAAAGGATCTCTTTTCTCTTTATCTTTGTCTTATATTCAAACGTACGTGTAATTAATAATTAAATTATATTAGATAGGTTTTTCAAAAAAGTATATTTACATTATGTAAAAACAAATTAAAACTCTTACGCTGCAAAAAGTGGTCATCTTTAGCGGAAGAACTTTTCCCGCAGTAATACGAAAAGGTTCCTTGGCTACTAACATTAGTAGAATAAGGTTTCTCGCCTTGCGTGGCTCCAATGTATACCATTCAAGATCACAAATAGTTTGATATACAGCGTTGCACTTAATATAAAAAATATATTACGTACATACATATATAAAAAATATTAATTAATTATATCTGTGTAGCTATTTATAATAATATTTAAATATTCAATTAATATTCAAATTTTTTCGAGTTTGCAATTTTAAAAATAAGTAAAAATTGAAAATTCTTTTTTTATTTTTTGTAATTTTAAAATTTTAATTTATAATAAAAAATTTATTTAACTACATATAATGAATAAATCTTAAGTAACATTATAGAAGTAACATTATTATAAACGCAATAAGACACATAAAAGGCCAAAAAGCGAGCAATTGAAACAGTCAGAAATACATAAGATCTAAAAATACTTTAATCACTAACCGATCTAAGTACAATAAGGTCTTAAAATTATTTAAATAAAATTATAAGTGCCACTTTGAGTTTCTTCGAAAAATAGAATATAACAATATTTCCCTTCATTCACACATTTTAATTTATTATATATTGGCTTCTAATTGATTTGATAATTATTTAACTATATTGAAATGTATCAATGACCAACAATTGATAATAATCAACACAACTGTATACTTGTAAAAATATATATTTTTGCGAGAATATATTAAAATTAAAATGTTTTTATAATACATAAATTTAAGTGGCTACATATTGTATAATTCTCATTATGTTGTATCTATATTTGAGTATGTAACTTACTTGTTCGGTTATTAAATCTCCTCCGAAACAGTAAAAAAACGTTTGCGAAAGCAGACAAATAACACTACTAAGCAAGTAACTTATTTGTGAAAAATTTGCAGCGGTTAATTTTTCATCACTAATAACCTAAATAATATATCTCGTTAATTAATAAAAACAGTATTCAGCAGACAATCATGTCGCATGTATGTCAACATATTATATGTCCTACTAGAACTTACAATAAGAATTATAAATCCGCATAGACAAAATACAATACCAAACTGGAGTACCAATAAAAACAATATTAATGTATACGTATTTTCAATATTATCGGCGTATCTACATAAACGTATTTTAAAAAATATTATATTACAATTTAAATAGTCAATATATATATATAGATCGCTAGTAAATAAAATAAAAAATTTATTAAATTTAATTGACCAAAAATTAACAATTTTATTAGATTAATAGTTCAGTACTTTTCGATCTTGTGGTTACGGTCCTATTTAAGTGAAGTGTAAGAATACACTAGAAAACATAATATGATGACTTACTTGCTAATACATAAAACATAAATTAAGAAATAAGTTACAAATTAAAAGAAAAAGAAGAACAAGAAAGATATGTGCTTACATATAGTCATTAACATTATATGTAGTCTCCAGTGTTAATGACCATATGTAAGCACATACCTTTCTTGTTCTTCTTTTTCTTTTTAATTTGTAATTAATTTTTTAATTTATGTTTTTATGTATTAGCAAATAAATCATCATATTATATTTTTCCAGTGTATTTTTACCCTTTACTTGAAAAAGATAACAACCACATGGTCGAAACGTAGTGAACTATTGAGTTATTGAAATTGTTGGTTTTTGGTGAATTAATTTTTATATTACAATTTAATTATAATATTAAAATTTCAAATTGTACACAATAATAATTGTACATAATTTTGTATTATTGAGTATTGTATTACTCGTATATTTACCAAATGATATTTCGGCATTTTTTGATAATAACGTAGAAAAAAGTTCTCAAATCTTGTGTGGTATATAAATTATTAACAAGAATTTTGACTAATGAGAAGTCACGAAAGTACAAACTCTTGCAAAACGAGAATTCATTGAATCCAAATCGAATAAAAAAAAGAAAAAAGTAAAAAAATATTTATGACACGATCACATAACCTAAAAGTATTAGTATATATGTTGATAAAATGAGAGACAAAATATATATTTAAAAATTTTTAATTTATTAATCAAAATTAAAAAATCTTTTTTTATAACTTAAATATATTTTTTCTCATAAATTCTAATAAACTTTCATTACATTGTTATCATCAAACCCACCTGATAAGACGTAAATGAGTCACTATGCTGCTGCTCAGAGCTTTGTTGAAATCTTCGCACGAAACTAATTTGATTATTCGTTGCTTGAAATTCTCCAACTGGCCGCAGATATGAAGAATTACAAATCCTAAGAATGCATTTATAGCAATGAAAATTATTGCTGACATAAGTATCCCTATGGCTTGAGAGAGAAACGTCAGCACATATAGCAGATCCTTATCAGTGTCGTAGATATAATAGGTCTGTAGCGGTAATAGTTTGTTGCGATCCGTAAGATTCGTTGGATACCTAATTTGTACGCCAAAACAGGGAAGAATAATTAGGATGGTAAATGACGTTGCCACTATAATGTATCCGAAAATTATGAGTAACCGTGCAATCCGTGCTTGTTTTATCATTACGTCCCTCTCTGTGCTTAATTTTGTCGCTGTCCAATCTTCTGCCATTGTTTCTACGATGGTTAATACGACTTGAAAATATAGAAAAAAAAGAAGCAATATTGTTATACTGTACAAATTTTTAACTTAGTAATTATTTTTAAATGTACAAAATAAAGTACAATTTTTTTATATTAATTTTAATTCTTATTTTTATATCTTGCATCATTTGATTTATTTGAACATGTATTGTACAATTCATGTCAATGGCCTCTAAAGGTAAAAGCTGAATTGATGTAAGAAATGATGTAAGTCGTTTACAAATTTTTATTATAATCTGATGTGTGACTGTAGTAATAAATCGAGTGTTCAAAGAAATTTGCAAAGATAATTAAATGTGAACGCTTTACATCAAAATAATTCTAGACATACCTGTTTGTTTCCATCTCATAATAACAAGTTCTAATGAAATTGTGATCACAGGTATTGTAACACGTAAATTGTCTATCATTAGCGCCATATTGCCCCAAACTCGTATAAGTGCATGTATATAAGGAATACCAGAAACAATAGCTATCATAATGAAAGCAAATCCCGTACGAATGTCAGAACCGAGTCTTCTTTTAGCGACTTCATCAGTTTTAGGCCATAACCCGACCAATTCTAAACTCAGGCGGTTTATTTTGATTGCCCACATAAAATCTGTCAAGCAAGATTTTTTTAAGAAACTCAGTAATTACAAAATTTTAAATGATAGAAAGAGTATATACATATAACACATATATATTATTAATATAATTCTAACTTAAAAACATGTTGGAAATTTAACGTATATCGTAAGTAAAAAAATGTGGAATAGGCTTGTACCTTGGTAACCTGAAGATTCCGACATGTCCATGTCAAAGGCTAACGTGTATATGTTGAAGAGGGGTTGATGGTCGTATCCTTTCCATCCTATAATAAGGTGACTATCACGCATGCTCGCGAAACAAGTGCAATAACCTGATCGCTTCCTCGGAAGATTCATTAAATATTCAAGATGCCACTTTCAGTTTGCTAACAAGTTGCCTGTTTTGTAAAAAACTTTATAACTATAAGAATAGTTTCGAACATCTGTTTTTGAGGAGGCGGAAAGTATATTCTGTTACTTTATATCGTCAACGTGCATTAAAAGTTTTTTTTTTACTTTACAATGTTTCAGAAATGTGCGTTAAATTTGAAGTTACAATGCCATGTAGTGGAAAAAATTTTCTACGTATAACAAAAAGCTGCATCAAAAGAAAAAAAATTACAACACACAAGGTATAGAATGTTACTTCACATTTCGTATACTATATGTTCAGTCTAAGAATATATATATAATGTAATAAATGCAGTACAGTGGACGTGTAAAAATTCTTAAATTAAAAATTTTTTGTTCTCTGTATGAGGAAAACAATATACATATATATCTATAATCTTTATCGAACTAGTTTTTTAACATTATTATATGTTTGTAATTTTCAAATAAAAAATATTATTTAAAGACATATAGATTTATATGATATATACATATGTATATGTATATATATAAACGCCGAATCAAAAGCTAACTATTAATCTTATAGCTATCTTTAAGAATACATATGTATATAAAAATATATACGTTTATGAAGTATACATACATGTAAATGTTGGAATTTTTTTTCACGTAAGATTTTTCATTTAAAGCTTTATTTTTCTTCGTCTGTCATTTGCTTGGCAAAATCTACAAAAATAATATAATCTTAATTTTATAGCAACAATTTGAAGAATGTTACGATTTATTATTATTGAATACAATTTGATACGACTTGACTGGTTCCCTCTCGAAAATTCAACTTTTTTGCGAATATTGACTGGTAAGATTTACTAATTTTTGTAGAATCCACGCAATTGGATTTATCTTAAAATATTAAGATTTGGTAAGCTACAAAACAAATATCTATAATTGTTTCTCTAAGAAGCACGAAAACACGTAACAATAAAAAAAGGTTTAAACATTAAGATTCACTTTTTTGAATTGAGAAAAAAGCAACTTGTGAATCATGAATTCTATTCAAAGCATTATTGCCATAAACATATACTCGCACTATATTTTACAACAAATATATCATATACATCGAGCTATAAAACTTTACTTCTGCGATAATATTAAAATAATTTCTTTTTTCTTTAATAACATAATATTAATATATACATTAGCATATTATTTTCAATTCCGCATTGCTAGCAAAACAGATATATAACCAGCCGTTGTTTTTATTAGCTGAAAATAATATAATATCAAAATCATTATTAAAGAAAAGAGATTATATATATAAATAAAAGAACAATTTTTACGAAAAATATATGATAATATTAACCTGTTTCTTTTCATTTATGTTTGTTACAAATGATTTCTTATATTTACATAAATATGCGAAAATCTATTGTGGCATTGAAGTGTAATAACAAATAATAAATATAACAACAAAAGAATTATAATAAAATATTTGTTAAAATTCTTGCAGTAAAAGGCCACTTTTCTCTTTATTTTTATCTTATATTTAAAAGGATGTGCAATTAATAATTAAATTTTATTAGATAGGTTATTTGAAAAAGTATATTTAAACTGTGTAGAGACAAATTATTAAGTATCTTACGCTGCAAAAAGTGGTCATCTTTAGCGGAAGAACTTTTCCCGCAGTAATACGAAAAGGTTCCTTGGCTACTAACATTAGTAGGATAAGGTTTCTCGCCTTGCGTGGTTCTAATTTATACCATTCAAGATCACAAATAGTTCGATATACAGCGTTGCACTTAATAAAAAATATATTATATATATATATATATATATATATATATATATATATATACATATTCAAAAATATTAATTAATTATATCTGTATAGTTATTTATAATAATATTTAAATATTTAATTTATATTCAAATTTTTTTCGAATGATTTGCAGTTTTAGAAATAAGTAAAACTTATAAATTCTTATTTTATATTTTTTAATCTTATTATTCTAATTTTTAATAAAAATTATATTTAACTACATAAAATAAATAAATAATTTTAAGTAACATTATGAACGCAAGAAAACACATAAAAGGCCAAAAAACAAGCAATTGAACAGTCAGAAATACATAAGAACTAAAAATACTTTAATCACTAACCAATCTAATTACATGGTTTTAAAATTATTTGAATAAAATCTTAAGTGCCACTTTGAGTTCCTTCGAAAAATAGAATATAACAGTATTTCCCTTCATTCACACATTTTAATTTATTATATATTGGTTTCTAATTGATTTAATAATTATTTAATTATATTAAAATTGTTCAATGACCAACAATTGATAATGATCAACACAACTGTATACTTGTAAAAATATATATTTTTGCGAGAATATATTAAAATTAAAATGTTTTTATAATACATAAATTTAATTGGCTACATATTGTATAATTCTCATTATGTTGTATCTATATTTGAGTATGTAACTTACTTGTTCGGTTATTAAATCTCCTCCAAAACAGTAGAAAAACGTTTGCGAAAGCAGACAGATGACACTAATTAGTATGTAACTTATTTGTGAAAAATTTTCAGAGTTCAACTTTTCATCACTGATAACCTAAATAATATATCTCGTTCATTAATAAAAACAGATTTAACAATAACGTCGCATGTATGTAAATAAATTATATGTCTTACTAGAACTTACGGTAAGAAATATAAATCCGCATAGACACAACATGATACTGAACTGGATTACCAATAAAAACAATATAAATGTAAACGTATTTTCGATATTATCGGCGTATCTACATAAACAATTTTCAAAAAAATATTATATTACAATTTAATTTTGATGTAAAAATTTCAAATTGTACATAGTAATAATTGTATATAATTTTCTAGTATTGAGTACCTCATTATCTTTACCAGATTATATTTTGGCATTTCTTTCTGATAATGTAGAAAAAATCTCGAATTTTATGTGGTATATTAAATATAAACAAGAACTTTGACTAATGAGGTATCTCAAAAGTACAATCTTTTGTAAAACGAGAATCCATAGAATCCAAATCGAATAAAAAAAAGGAAAAAAAAAACATTTATGATATAATCACATATATCCTAAAAGTATTAGTACTCGTATATATGCTGATATAATTAGAGGGTCAAAATATTTAAGATATATTTAAAAATTTTAAATCTATTATTTAAAAATTAAAAAATTTTTTGTATGACTTAAATATATTTTCCCTCATAGATTGTAATAAACTTTCATTACATTGTTATCATCAAACCCACCTGATAAGACGTAAATGAGTCACTATGCTGCTGCTCAGAGCTTTGTTGAAATCTTTGCACGAGACTAAATTGATTATTTGTTGCTTGAAATTCTTCAATTGACCACAGATATGAAGAATCACAAATCCTAAGAATGCATTTATAGCAATGAAAATTATTGCTGACAAAAGTATCCCTATGGCTTGAGAGAGAAACGTCAGCACATATAGCAGATCCTTATCAGTGTCGTAGATATAATAGGTCTGTAGCGGTAATAGTTTGTTGCGATCCGTATAATTCGTTGAATACCTAATTTGTACGCCAAAACAGGGAAGAATAATTAGGGTGGTAACTGACATTCCCACTATAATGCATCCAAAAATTATGAGAAACCGTGCAATTCGTGCTTGTTTTATCATTACGTCTCTCTCCGTGCTTAATTTTGTCGCTGTCCAATCTTCTGCCATCGTCTGTACGATAGATAACATGACTTGAAAATATAGTAAAAATTTTGTATATGTAATTTAATTTTTATTTTTATATCTTGCATGATTTTATTTATTTGGACATGTATGGTACAATGCGTTTCAATGGCCTCTAAAGGTAAAAACTGAATTGACGTAAGAAATAATGTAAATCGTTTACAAATTTTTTATTAAAATCTGATGTGTGATTGTAGTAATAAAAATGAAGCGTTCAAATAAATTTACGAAGAAAATTAAATGTGAACGCTTTACATCAAATAATTCTAGACATACCTGTTTGTTTCCATCGCATAACAACAAGTGCTAACGAAATTGTGATCACAGGTATTGTAACACGTAAATTGTCTATCATTAGCGCCATATTGCCCCAAACTCGTATAAGTGCATGTATATAAGGAATACCAGAAACAATAGCTGTCATAATGAAAGCAAATCCCGTACGAATGTCAGAACCGAGTCTTCTTTTAGCGATTTCATCAGTTTTAGGCCATAACCCGACCAATTCTAAACTCAGGCGGTTTATTTTGATTGCCCACATAAAATCTGTCGAGCAAGATTTTTTTAAGAAACTCAGTAATTACAAAATTTTAAATGATAGAAAGAGTATATACATATAACAAATATATATTCTTAATACAATTCTAACTTAAAAACATGTTGGAAATTTAACGTATATCGTAAGTAAAAAAATGTGGAATAGGCTTGTACCTTGGTAACCTGAAGATTCCGACATGTCCATGTCAAAGGCTAACGTGTATATGTTGAAGAGGGGTTGATTGTCGTATCCTTTCCATCCTATAATAAGGTGACTATCACGCATGCTCGCGAAACAAGTGCAATAACCTGATCGCTTCATCGGAAGATTCATTAAATATTCAAGATGCTACTTTCAGTTGCTAACAAGTTACCTGTTTTGTAACAAAACTTTATGACCATAAGAATAGTTTCGAACATCTGTTTTTGAGAAGGCAGGAAGAATATTCTGTTACTATATATCATCAACGTGCATTAAAAGTTTTTTTTTTACTTTACAATGTTTCAGAAATGTGCGTTAAATTTGAAGTTACAGTGCCATGTAGTTGCATCTTATGTAGTGAAAAAAATTTTTTGCGTATAGCGAAAAGTTGCATCAAAATAGAAAGAAAAATTACAACACAGCAGGTATAGAATATTACTTCACATTTCGTGTATGTTCGGTGCAAGAATATACGGTTGTTCCATAATTCGCGAATCACCTTTCATGGGCGGATAGAGCGTGTTAAACTGAATAGAAAATTCATGTATCATTTTGCGATATTCGCAATAATTATTGAGTTATTTATTAAAATATCTAAACGAATAAGCAGGTAGAAATCATTATTTGATCGAGAGGCGGCGAGCGGCGACCAATGTAGTGGCGCCGAAAAGTAAGATGATACTTTTGATACTAAGCGGCACATAACAAATAAGTCATCCGACATGCACACTGACAATCAGTCCGTTTTCTACCCGCTCATTCGTTTAGATATTTTAGTTAATAACTCAATAATTATTGCGAATATCGCAAAATGATACAGGACTTTTCTATTCAGTTTAACACGCTCTATCTGCCCGTGAAAGGTGATTCGCGAATTATGGGACACCCTGTATATATGGTGTAATAAGTGCAGTACAGTGGACGTGTAAAAATTCTTAAATTAAAAGTTTCTTCGTTCTGTGTACGAGAAAAACAATATACATATTTATAGAGAGAGTCTTTATCGAACTATTCTTTTAACACTATTATGTTTGTAATTTTTTAATGAAAAATATAATTCAAAGACATATAGATTTATATGATATATACATATGTATGTATATGTACATGCATAAATACCGAATCAAGAGCTAACTACAAATCTTATAGTTATCTTTAAGTACACATATGTACATAGAATTATAATCGTGATGAAATATACATAGATGTAAATATTGAAATTCTTTTTTCACATGAAATTTTTATTAAAACCCTTATTTTTTTCTCGTTTGTTTTTTACTTGGCAAACTTTACAAATATAGGAATATAAAGTTATAATAGCAACAATTTGAAAAATGTTACGATGCATAATTATTGAGTACAAATTGATACGACTTGACTGGTTTTTGAAAATCGTACTTCTTTTGCTAATATTAACGCTGGTAAAATATGATTTTTGCAGAATCCTCGCAATAGGATTCATCTTACAGTATTAAGATTTGGTAAGCTACAAACAAAAATCTGTAATTGTTTCTTTAAAGTCATAAAAAACGCATAATAATAAAGAAAAATATTTAAGCAATAAGATCCGCTTATTTGAATCGAAAAGAAAGCAATTCAAGAATCTTGAATTCTTATCAAAGCATTTTTGCTATAAACATTTATCACACACTCGCACGAGAATACACTTTACAACAAATATCATACATCGAGATATGAAACTTTACTTCTGCAATAATATTAATTTAATTTCCATTTTCTTTAATAACATAATAATGATATATACATTAACATATGTTTTTCAATTTCGCATTGCTAGCAGAAAAGATATATAACCAGCCGATGTTTTTAGTAACTGAAAGTAATATATTATAAAAATCATTATTGAAGAATAGAGATTGTGTACAAATAATATAATAATTATTACAAAAAATATGTGGTAATATTAACCATGTACGTTTTCATTTATATTTGTCATAAATAATTTTTTTAGATTTACATAAATGTAAGAAAAATCTCTCATAGCATTAAAATGTAATAGCAAGATACTAAATATAACAACAAAAATATTATAATAAAATATTTATTAAAAGCTTAGCAGTAAAAGGCCTCTTTTTCTTTTTATCTTTGCCTTATGTTTAAAAGCATGTGCGATTAATAGTTAAATTTTATTAAATAGCTTATTCTATTAATTTTATTAGATAGGTTATTCGAAAAAGTATTTATGTAAAAACAATTATTAAAAATCTTACGCTGCAAAAAGTGGACATCGTTAGTGGAAGAACTTTTCCCGCAGTAATGCGAAAGGGTTCCTTGGTCATTAACATTAGTAGGATAAGGTTTCTTGCTTTGTGTGGCTCCAATTTATACCATTCCAGATCACAAATAGTTCGATATACAGCGTCGCACTTAATAAAATATATATTATGTATATACACATATAAAAACATTAATTAATTATATGTGTATCTAATTAGAGTATTTAAATATTCAATTAATATTCAAATTATTTCCGTGTGGTTTGCTTAAATATTATTAACATTAAATTTTTTATTTTAATTTTTTGTAATTTTAATATTTTAATTATTTTGAAAAAATTTATTTATAATAAATTAATCTTAAGTAACATTATAGAAATGGCATTATAAAATTAATTAATCTCTGTATATATATATGTAAATATTTATTATCATACCTATGAAATTCTATAGATTATTAATTCTATATAAATTAGAGAGTTATAATAATGCATAAATTTAATTGATTGTATACTATATAATTCTCATTATATTGTATCTATATTTGAGTATGTAACTTACTTGTTCGGTTATTAAATCTCCTCCGAAACAGTAGACAAACGTTTGCAAAAGCAGACAGATGACACAAATTAGCATGTAACTTATTTGTGAAAAATTTTCAGCGGTTAATTTTTCATCACTAATAACCTAAATAATATATCTCGTTAATTAATAAAAACAGAATTAAGCAGACAATCACGTCGCATGTATGTCAACAAATTATATGTCATTCTAGAACTTACAGTAAGAAATATAAATCCGCATGGACAAAATACCATACCGAACTGGAGTACCAATAAAAATAATATTAATGTAAACGTATTTTCGATATTATTGGCGTATCTACATAAACGTATTTTTAAAAAATATTGTTATAATTTAATTTTGATATTAAAATTTACAATTGTACACAGTAATAATTGTATATAATTTTGGTTTGTCGACTGTGACAAATTTATCAGGTTATATTTCGGCATTTTTTACTAATAACGTAGAAAAAGTTCTCGAATCTTGTGTGGTATATTAAATATAAGCAAAAATTTTGACTAATGAGGAGTCTCAAAAGTACAATCTTTTGCAAAACGAGAATCCATTAATTCAAATCAAATAAAAAAAAAAAACATTTATGACAATCACATATACCCTAAAAGTATCAGTACATATGTTGATAAAATTTGAGAGACAAAATATTTAAGGTGTATTTAAAAATGTTAAACCTATTATTTAGAAATTAAAAATATTTTCTGTAAGACTTAAATATATTCACCCTCATAGATTGTAACAAACTTTCATTACATTGTTACCATCAAACCCACCTGATAAGACGTAAATGAGTCACTATGCTGCTGCTCAGAGCTTTGTTGAAATCTTTGCACGAGACTAAATTGATTATTTGTTGCTTGAAATTCTCCAATTGACCGCAGATATGAAGAATCACAAATGCCAGGAATGCGTTTACAGCAACGTATATTATTACTATCAGAAACATCGCTATGGCTTGTGAGAGAAACGTCAGCACAAATTGCAGATCCTTATCGGTATCGTAGATGTAATACGTCTGTAGCGGTAACGGTTTGTTCCGATCCGTAAGATTCGTTGGATACCTAATTTGTATGCCAAAACAGGGAAGAATAATTAGGATGACAAATGCCGTTCCCATTATAACGTATTCGAAAATTATGAGCAACCGTGCAATCCGTGCTTGTTTTATCATCACGTCTCTTTGCGCGGTTAATTTGAATGTTGTCCAGTCTTCCACCATCGTCTTTACGATGGATAATATGACTTGAAAATATAGAAAGAAATAAGCAATATTGTTACACTGTAAAAATTGTGTTTAATAATTATTTAATAATTATACGTCTATAATAATTAATTATTTAATAATTATTTTTAAGTATACAAATTAAAGTAAACATTTTGGGTATGTAATTTATTTCTTGTTTTTATATTTTGCATGATTTTTTTTATTTGGACATGTATGTTGCATGATATGTAAATCGTGTACAAATCTTTTATTATTGCAATCGGATGTGTGAAAAAATTTGACGAGGAAAATAAAATGTAAATGCTTTACATCGTATAATTCTAGACATACCTGATTGTTTCCACCACATGATAACAAGTTCTAATAAAACCGTCAACATAGGTAATGTGATACGTAAATTGTCTATCATTAGCGCCATATTGCCCCAAACTCGTATAAGTCCATGTACAAGAGGAATACCAGAGACAAAAGCTATCATAATGAAAGCAAAACCCGCACGAATGTCAGAATCGAATCTTCTTTTAGAAATTCCATCAATTTTAGGCCATAAGCCGACTAATTCTAAGCTTAGACGGTTTATTTCAATTGCCCATACGAAATCTATAAACAAAATTTTGTTAAAAAAATTAATAAGTAATTACCAATTTATGTATGAATCATAATATTTTTAATGATAGAACGTGCATGAATATGTATGTATAACAAATTTATTTGTAATAGAAACGATATATTTAATTCGACCCAAACTAGCCAAGAAATTTTTATTTTATTTCCAACATCTTAATTTGATGTTAGAATTGTATTACAAATAAATTTAATTGAATACTTAAAACGTCGCTAGTGGTATTTAAAATAAGAACGATATATTAAATTCGACCCAAACTAGCCAAGAAATTTTTATTTTATTTCCACAACCATCTGTTTCGACCATCTGTTTTTGGTCCTTTTCAAGTGAAAAATTCTTTGATAAAAGCGCAGTCAACTGCTGGAATAAAATAAAAATTTCTTGGCTAGTTTGGGTCGAATTTAATATATCGTTCCTATTTTAAATACCACTAGCGACGTTTTAAGTATTCAATTAAATTGATTTGTAATACAATTCTAACATCAAATTATCATGTTGGAAATTTAACGTATGCTATAAGTAGAAAAATGTAATATACACTTGTACCTTTGTAACCTGAAGATTTCGATATGTCCATGTCGAAGGTTAACGCGTATATGTTGAAGAGGTACTGACCATCGTATTCTTCCCATCTTTATAATCAAATGACTGTCACGCATGCTCGTAAAACGAGTGCAATAACCTGGCTGCCCCGTTGAAGGATGCATTAAATATTAAAGATGCGACTTTCAGTTGTTAACAAGTTGCCTGTTTCGTAACAAAACTTTATGACCATAAGAATAATTACGGACATATGTTTTTCGAAAAAGCGGGAAGTATATTGTGCTTGCCATATATCGCCGAACTTATGTATTAAAAGTTCTTTTATACCTTGTAACATTCTATGTACATACGTGCAATTTGAAGACGTTTTTGTAATGTTACATAATTGTATGTTATGTGAAATCGAAAATATTTCTGTGTGTAGCAAAAACTGCTAAAGATAAAAAAATGTATCTGAAGATAAAAAAATGCTATATACAATAAAAAAGGTGCAGTGGACGTAGAAAATTTTAAATTAGAATTTCTTTTTTCTCTATATGTGAAAACGAGATATTCAACTCTATATCTTATTTAATCGGACTATTTGTATAACAATGATAATGACTGCAGTCTTTAAATATTTATTATATTTGTAGTCACTTTCAAAAAAAATATCCAAATTTTTCAAGATTTTATGAATAATACTTATAATTTTCATAAATACTTTTTTACCATAAAAGTAAAACTTACAATCTGGAAAAAAGTTTTTATTTTAATATTTGTCAGAAAAAAGTGAAAGAAAAATGTAAAGTACATTTTCGCTTTTTTTATTTAAATAAAAATATGATTTAATAATACTCGAAATTATAATTATTAATCAAATTGATTATGCTCGAAATTATTAATAATATCAGACTGCAAAAGTGATCATTAATGAAACAATTTTTTTTGCAGTTTGCGAAAGGACACATATCATAAGTTTGCCGAACATTTGCATACCTAGTGTAATATTTTCTCGTCATCGAGTACATAAGTACATATGTTTTCCTTCAAGATCTTGTATCCTTTCTTCTTCTCAGCCCACAGATTGGACAATTTGGTATGTATGTATTTACACGTTTTTCCTTTAGGCTATACTTAAATAAAATATATAGAGTTTTCGGTAATAATTGCATGACTACTTGTATCATTTCCCAATTTTCACAACAATTAATTTTGAAATAATTATTGCGTAGATCGCAAATAGAGGGAATCTTTTTCTCAACCGTTCTACTTGTACACAATAAATGACAGATTATTACCGAATCTTGTATTGTATATAAAACAACGAGTTATATTCAAAAATATAATCAAAAAGAACTGTATAGAAATTAAAGAGTTGGTAGAAAATCTGCACAATATTATTTTTCATTTATTAATTAGCAAACATAAAAGAGAATTGTCATCAATTGTTCTAATTTAGGACAAGATTGTCTAATCACTTTCAGAAAAAGATTACATATTTTATTCACAAGATAATATGTTTTATTATTATTATAAAAAATAAATATTTTTTTATTTTTAAAAAATTTTTACCAATATTTCGAAGTATAAAAAGAACGTGAAAAATAAATGATACAAAATTTAATTAAATCTATGCTCGTCATTATTCATTTATCAATTAATTATAATCACAAAAAATACATGAACGACAAAAAATATTTAAATAACGATAAAATTAATGAAGTCGCCAGTGATGAGTAAAACCATACAAATTTATTGTAGTGTTTCTAATTAAATTATACTGGCCAGTTAGGTCGAAATTTCAATAAATTTGTATAAAAAAATATTTAAATACGTAGATCCGCTTTCTTTGTAGAGAATATACGATATACAAATCTCAAGTTTTTATCGAAGTATTTCTGTTCGTCGATACTATCTCTGGTCTCACATGACAATAATATATTTTACAATATGTAAATACCATATGTTGAATATAGATAATATAAACTTTATTTCTGCGAAATATATTGAATTTTTATTTTCTTTAACAATTAAGTGCTAATCATAATATTATACAGTTATAATTATTTAATTTCTCATTGCAAGAAGGAAAGATATGTAACCAGCCGATGTTTTTAGTAGCTGAAAATAATACCATATAAAAATTATTATTCAAGAAGAAAAATTTTATAAATGAACTATTTTTAATGAATATATGTGATAATATTAATTGTGTGCTTTTTCATATTTGTTATATTAATTTATAATTTATTATATTTACATAAATAGTAAGAATATTCTTTCTCTGAATAAAAATTTAATATTAAGTACAATATTAAGTTCAATATTAACGATAAAATTATAACATTTGAAAAAAATTAAAATAACTTATTATAAGCAGAAGAAAATACATCGTTGTATATTTTTCTTTCTCTCTTTTTTCTCTAATTCTTTCAAAAAATTAATGTAATTAAAATTAGAGCAAAAAAATATTAGAAGCAAATTATTAATAATCTTACGCTGCAAAATGTGGACACCGTTAGCGGAAAAACTTTTCCAGCAGTAAGACGAAAAGGTTGCTTGGCTAGTAACGTTAGTAAAATAAGGTTTCTCGCCTTGCGTGCCTCTAATGTATACCATTCAAGATCGCAAATAGTTTGGTATACAGCGTCGCACTTAATAAAAATACATATATATTTATATGCATATATATATATATATATATATATATATATAAACAAAAATATAAATTAATTATATGTGTGCATTTGTAATTATATAATAATTTTAAATATCCATATTTACTGGATTTTTATCTCGTAAGTTATTTTTTATAAACGTTAGTAAAAAATAATTACTTATTATAACTGTTTCAAATTTTTATGTTCATGAAATGGAACGATTATTGTGAAATGTGCAATGCTAGTTGTGCTACGTACATATATAAATATATGGCTTACTTGTTCGGTTATTAAATCTGCGCCAAAGCAGTAGCAAAATGTTTGAATAAGTAGAGAAACAACTACAATTGCTACATAACTTAATTGTGAATAATTAACTTTGTGTGTGTTTTTATTAGCAAGTACCTAAATAATATATCTCTTTAATTAATAAATACAAATAGATATTATTCAATCATGCCATACAACAACAACAAAATGTATGTCATTAGGACTTACAGTAAGCAATAAAAATGCAGATAGACAAAATACAACAGCAAACTGGAGTATCAATACAAACAATATTAATGTAAATACACTTTCAATATTTTTGGCGTATCTACATAAACGTAAAAACGTATATAAAAAAGTATTACTAAAAAAGTATTAATAAAAATTTCTAATTTACATAATTATATATATATATATATATATATATATATATATATATAATATTTTTATTCACTACTGCTTTATTTGCTACATTTAGCATTTTGTAATAATAATAAAGACAAACAAATAATCATCGTAGTTAATTAAAAATAAAAATAAGAATTTTAATCTCAGGAATTTTAAATTACAATTTTTGCAAGAAGAGACTGAATTTCAAATTGAATAAAACGAGAAAATTGAAAGAAATCTGTAATACAATTAACCATATACATATATACGCTAAAAAAGTATCAGTATATAAGTTCATAACATTAGAGAGACAACGTTTAAAATAAATGTAAAATAAAATTTAAAAAATCTTGCTCTAAAACTTTCTCAGAAATTTTGTATAATCTTTATTGTATTGTTACAATTAAAAATTCACCTGATAAGACGTAAATGAGTCACTATGCTGCTACTAAGAGCTTTGTTGAAGTCTTTGCTCGAGACTAAGCTGACTATTCGACGCTTGAAGTTCTCCAATTGGCCGCAGATATGAAGGATCACGAGACCCAAAAGTGAATCGATCGACGTGTAAAATTATAGCTGACTGGACGACTGTTATGGCTTGAATGAGAAATGTCAACTCAAATTGTGGGCTCCGATCTGTGTCGTAGAAATAATACGTCTGCATAGGTAAAGGTTTGTTCCGATCCGTGAGATTCGTTATATGTCTCATTTGTATGCCAAAAGAGGGAAGAATGATTAATGTAATAAGTGCTATTCCCATCATTAAGTACCCGAATATTACGAATATGTGTGCGGTTCGTGCTCGTCTTATCATCACATCCCTCTCTGCGACTACTTTTGATGCTATCCAGTCTTCCGCCATCGTGTTTATGATGGATAACAAAACTTGAAAATATAAAAAAGCAATATTTTTACAGGACAAAGATTCTAAAATAATTAATACTTAACTGGAAAAGTAATAAAACTTTTGTCTACTTCAAAATTTAATTCATTTTGATATGTATGTGTGTTCCCCAATGTGTAAAGTTTTCCAATTAATGTAAAGACTCACGATCGCGTTTTATCATTACATTTTCTTTCAGCGCACAGCTCTAACGCTAATCAATTTTTGGTAATCATGTTTACGATGGATGAGAAAATTTGGAAATATACAAATTGTGATAACATGAGAAAAATATTGAATTACATTAGCAACTACATTTGTTAACATATTGAAAAAAAATCATCATATACATATATTATAATTTATTCCAATAATGTAACACATTGTGATAATAATTCATGTACCTACACATTTTTTTTTATTTCATAATTCAATGTGTGCATTTAATGATAAGTTTTGCACTAGGATGTAAAAGCTTTACATGTCAAATATTTCTAGACATACCTGTTTGTTTCCATCGCAAAATAACAAGTTTCATTGATAGCATCATCATAGGCAACGTAATTCGGAAATTGTCAACCATCAGTATCAGGTCGCCCCAAACTCGTACAAGGGCACAGAAAAGCGGAATAAGAGTTCCAAATGTTATCACAATAAAAGTAAAAGCCACGCGAATGTCAGGTCCGAATATTTTTATAGCGTCTTTATTGGCTGTAGGCCACAAACCGATCAAATTTAAACTCAGACGGTTCAGTTTAACTGCCCACTCAAAATCTAGAAAGATTTTCTGCTCATACAATAAGAAACACGAATAAAATAATTACAAATGATATAAAACTATGAAGTCACCAGATGATAATTAAAAAATGGTAATAATTCAATCGACCAAATCTGGCAAATAAGTAAATTTATTGAATTTTCACAAAAATAATTACAAAGCCAGATTGTACAATTCTGATTAGGTGATAGAAATGCAACACTAATTTAAAATGTGGTATTAGAAGCACACAAAGTACACTGTTAGAAATGTATAACATCCACATAGTACCTTCATAACCAGAAGATTCCGACATGTCCATGTCGAAGACTAACATAGATGTGCCGAAGAAATTTTGATCGGTCTTCCCATTCCATAATGAGATAACTATCACGCATGCTCGTGAAATAAGTACAATAACCTGGCTGTCTCATCGAAGGAAGCATTAAATATTCAAGATGAAAGTGGGAACTTGTAGTCGCTTACAATTGCCTGTTTTATAAAAAAACTTCATGAGTATAAGAATAATTACAAGAACGTCTGTGCATTTGAAAAGGCAAAAAGTATCGCTTTATATCATCGAACTTGAATTAAAAGTTTTTTCATACTTTTGGAACGTTTCCCTCTAAGTGCGTTTAATTTGAAGACATAATATCACGTAATTGCATGTTATATAGTGTAAAAAGTTATCTATATAGAAAAACGCACCTAAAAGATAAGAAGAGACTACAATAAAGAATTTTATATATTTTACGCATGTTTATTGCAAGAACACATTTATTGATGAAGTAATATGAAATGCAATGGATATAGAAAGTTTTAAATTAAGAGTTTTTTTTCTCTCTACGAGGAAAATTATGTTCCAATCTATAGTCTTCATCGGTTCTTGTAATATTATAATTGTAATCTTCAAACGAGAATAGCATAATTTTTAGAAAATAGCAAATATCATTATTAATAATGTAAAATTGTATTTTCTTTATAACAAGTATATTGATTTTTTCCAATTTTAACTAGAGAAAAATATATTCCATTTTCTCATATTGTTAATTTTTTGAATTAATGTAATATTAATAAGTAATATTTTTATATACATATATACATATATATTAACTTATGATTTCTTTAGTCTTGTATTACTAACAATAACGATATAGAACAACTCAATTTTTAAAGTTGGAAATATAAGTATATATACACGCATATCTTTATTTATAGAAATATTTTTACAAAATTTAAAAATAAAATTAATTATAAAAAATTATATTAAATTTGATTTTATATTTGAAATCACAGTTTCAATATACAACTTTTCAAAATTTTATAAATAATCCTTATTTCAATTTTTATAAATACCTCTTTGACCAGATTTATCATAAAAGTAAAACTTACAATCTGAAAAAAAAAGTTTTTATATTAATATTAGTCACAAAGAATCAAAGAAAAACATAAAATGCATCTTCATTTTTCCTATTTAAATAAGAAATATAATTAATAATTATACTCGATATTATAATTATTAATAAAATCGAAAATACTCGAAATTGTTAATAATATCATATCGCAATTTTTTCCGCAGTAATGCGAAAGGGTTTCAGGACATTAACATTTGTTGCGAAGCAGTTCCATCTTGTGCTCTGGTTGATGCCAAACATTTGCATAACTTGTGTAATATTTTCTCGTCAACGAATACATTATTTTCTTTCAGGACCTTGTGTCGGTTCTTCACTCCACAAATTGAACAGATTGGTATGTATATGTATGACTGCCAGCTTTGCGATTAGTGTTTAATTTATCGATGGAAAGTTGAGATGCGTTTGATCACTGACTATTGTATTTTACCGTTTGCTTAATTTATATTATTATTGCTTAATTTATTGTAGTGTTGCACTGAAGAAGATTTTAAATAAATCGAAACGTATGTCTTTTGGTTAATTGGATTCATTTAAAATTTATTTATTAACACGAACATCTTGCTACGGCTTGTTTTGCCCGTTTTTGGTATTTTAATTTTTTTAATTTTTCGAGCTTCGTCGGTGTAATTTTTTATTATACTATTATAAAGATAAACATAATTTTATTTTTTTAATTTTTTACACTTCTATTTGTAACTATAAAAAGAACGTGCAAAATATATAATAAAAAATTTAATTAAATCTATGCTCATCATCAAAAGGGTTTAAATAGATTCCCTTTCTTCGGAAAAAATATATGATACTTATACGAATCTCAAGTTTATATCGAAATATTTTTGTTCGTGGATACTGTCTCATGTCTCACATGACACTATATTTTACAATAAATGTCATATATTAAACGTAGATCATACAAAAATTTCTGCAATATTAATTGAATTTTCATTTTCTTTATCAATTAAGTATTAACTATAGTATTGTAATTCTTTAATTCCGCATTGCTATAAAGAAAGATATGTAACCAGCCGATGTTTTTAATAGCTGAAAATAATACAATATAAAAATTATTATTCAAAAAGAGAAATTTTATGAATGAAATAATTTTTAATGAATGCATATATTAATATTAACTGTATGCTTTTTCATATTTGTTATATCAATTTAATAATTTATTATATTTATTATGCATTAATAGAAAAAAGAATTCTCTCTCTAGATAAAAATTTAATATCAAATTCAATACTAAATTTAATACTGACAATAAAATTGTAACATTAGAAAAAATATTCCAATTAAATGTTTCAGAAAATAACTCATTATTATAGCAGAAGAAAATACATTGCTGTATATTTTTTCTCTCTTTCTCTTTCAAAAAAATTTAAAGAATAAATATAATTTTTTAATAATTAAATATTACATTAAAAAAGATATAGTTAATCTAAGAGCAAATTATTAAAAATCTTACGCTGACAAATGTAGACATATTTAGAGGCACAACTTTTCCCGCAGTAATCCGAAAAGGTTGCTTCGCTAGTAACGTTAGTAAAATAAGATTTCTCGCCTTGCGTGCCTCTAATGTATACCATTCAAGATCGCAAATAGTTCGGTATACAGCATCGCACTTAATAAAAAAATATATTATGCCTATATGTATATATATACACACACAAAAATATTAATTAATTGTATGTGTGCATTTGTAATTATAATGATATTTAAATATCCATATTTAAGTGGATTCTTATCTCGTAAGTTATTTTTTATAAATGTTAGTAAATAATAAAAACTATTATAATTTTTTTAATTTTAATATTCTCATTTTTATTTGAAAGAAAGCTAGAAGTAAAGAAAAACTTATTTAATTTTAATAAATTTATCTTAATTAATATCTAGAAAAACGGCTCTACAAAAATATAAGTGTTAAAATAGCAATATTTCCAATAATGTGTAAAATAGTAAAATAATTAACATATAATTATTTAGCGATATCAAAATTGATCAACGGAAAATCGCAAACATGACAACTTATATACAAACAATGGTAACTATATATATTGTAATACGCAGTACACACAGCAAGTATTAACTTTTGTGAAAATGTAATTATATATTACAAAATTATAGTGCATGAAATGGAATAATGATTGGGAGTATAATGTATAATGCTAATTGTGCTATATATATATGACATACTTTTTCGGTTATTAAATCTGCACCAAAACAATAGCAAAATGCTTGTATAAGTAAAGAGACAAACACTATTGCCATAAAACTTATTTCTGAATAATTTATACTTTCGTTTTCAGTAAGCACCTAATAATATGTCCCGTTAATAAAAACAAACAGAGAAATTACATACAATCATACAACAGCAACAAAATACACGTTACTTACAATAAGCAATAAAAATCCGCACAGACAAAATACGACAGCAAACTGGAGTATCAATAAAAACAATACTAATGTAAATACACTTTCGATATTTTTGGCGTATCTAAACGTATAAAAACGTACATAAAAAATACATTTAAACTCTCAAATTATACATAACAATAATTATACATATAATATTCAATACTGCATTATTTACAAAATTTACATTTTGGCATTTAGTAATAATATTGTAATGCAGACAAAAAATAGTCGTCGTTGTTTAATAAAAATAAAAATAACAATTTCGATCTAAGGAGAGTTTTTAATTATATGTATATAATTTTAGCAAAAAGAGATTCTATTTGAAATTAAATAAAAAAGAGAAAGAGTAAAAGAAATCTGTGAGACACTTAACCACATATACTCGTACACACTCACAATCAATATATTTTATAACATTAGAAAAACAATGTTTAAAATAAAAAAATAAAATAAAAAAAAAACCTTTCTGCGGAACTTTTATCTCAGAAATTTTATATAATTAACATTGTATTGTTACAGTCAAAAATTCACCTGATCAGACGTAAATGAGTTACTACGCTACTACTCAAAGCTTTGTTGAAGTCTTTGCTCGAGACTAAGCCGGCTATTCGACGCTTGAAGTTCTCCAATTGGCCGCACATATGAAGAATCACGAGACCCAAAAGTGAATCGATCGACGTGTAAATTATAGCTGACTGGACGACTGTTATGGCTTGAATGAGAAATGTTAACTCAAATTGTGGGCTCCGATCTGTGTCGTAGAAATAATACGTTTGCATAGGTAAAGGTTTGTTCCGATCCGTGAGATTTGTTATATGTCTCATTTGTATGCCAAAAGTGGGAAGAATGATTAGTGTGACAGAAACCATTGCCAATATAAAATATCCGAACATTACGAATATCTGTGCTATTCGTGCTTGTCTTATCATCACATCCCTCTCTGCGGCTACTTTGGATGCTATCCAGTCTTCGCCATCGCGTTTATGATTGATAATAAAACTTGAAAATATCAAAACATTAAAATCCATAATTTTACAATGCAAATATATTAAACTAATAGATATATTGAACTTGCAAAGTAAAAGAAAAAATCTTGTATATTTTGTATAATTTAATTCATTTTAATATGCATGCGTGTTGCTGTATGTTTAAACTCGTAAAGTTTTCTAATTGATGTGAAAACTCACGATCGCATTTAATCAATACATTTTTTCAGCAATAGCTGTAACGCTAATCAGTTTTCCACTATTAAGTTTACGATAAATGGGAAAACTTGAAAATACGAAAATTGCGATAACATATTTGATAACGTAAGAAAAATATTGAATTACATTAGCAGTTATCTTGTTAACTTATACATATTGAAAAAAAAGTTATCGTATACGTATTATAATTTATTCCGAAAATACAATACATTGTAGTAATAATTCATTTATAATCCTTTGATTCCATAATTTAATATGTTGATGTAATTATAAACCAAGCGTTATAAAAGATTTTTTGCTAGGATTTGAAAGCTTAATGTGAAACTTTTTTAGACGTACCTTTTTGTTTCCATCGCATAATAACAAGTTTGGCTGATATCACTATTATAGGCAACGTAATTCGAACATTGTCAACCATCAGTATCAAATCGCCCCAAATTCGTGTAAGGCCACAGATAAGCGGAATAAGAGTTCCAAATGTTATCACAATAAAAGTAAAAGCCACGCGAATGTCAGGTCCGAATATTTTCATAGTGTCTTTATTAGTTGTAGGCCATATACCGATCATGTTTAAATTCATACGGTTTAGTTTAACTGCCCACACAAAATCTGGAAAGATTTTTTTGTCACAAATAAGAGACTCGATTAAAATAATTACATAAATATATATTATACAATTTTGATTAAGCAAGAGAAATGCACTAATTTAAAAGGTGTGATTAAAAACACACTGCTAGAAATGTATAACATTCACATATTACCTTTATAACCAGAAGATTCTGACATGTCGAAGATTAACACAGATATGCCGAAGAGGTTTTGATTGGTCTTTCCACTCCATAAGAGATAACTGTCACGCATGCTCGTGAAATAAGTACAATAACCTGGCTGCCTCATCGAAGGAAGTATTAAATATTCAAGATGCCACTTTCAGTCGCTTACAATTGCCTGTTTCAGAAAAAAACTTCGTGACTATAAGAATAATTAAGAACGTCTGCATTTAAAATGACGAAAAATATATTGTATCGCTATATATCGTCGAACTTAAATTAACAGTTTTCTCATACTTTGTAATGTTTCTCTCTACGTGCGTTTAATTTGAAGACATAATATTACGTAATTACATGTTATGTATAGTGTAAAAAAATTATCTGTACAAAAAAAATTGCATCTAAAATATAAGAAGAGACTACAATGAAGAAAGTATAGAATGTCGCTTTACATATTTTGCACATGTTTATTGCAAGAACATATTTATTGATGAAGTAATGTGAATTGCAATTCACGTAGAAAATTTTAAATTAAGACACTCTTTTTTCTCTATACGAGAAAAATAATATCCAAGTCTATAGTTTTCATCGGACTATTCTTATAACATTATAATAATTGTAATTTTCAAACGAGAGTGACATAATTTTTAGAAAATAGCAAACATTAATGTTAATAATGTAAAATTTTATTATCTTTATAACAAATATATTGATTTTTTTCAATTTTAACTAGAGAAAAATATATTCCATTTTCTCATATTGTTAATTTTTTCAATTAATGTAATATTAATAAGTAATATTTTTATATACATATATACATATATATTAACTTATGATTTCTTTAGTCTTGTATTACTAACAATAACGATATAGAACCGCTCAATTTTTAAAGTTGGAAATATAAGTATATATACACGCATATCTTTATTTACAGAAATGTTTTTTCAAAATTTAAAAATAAAATTAATTATAAAAACTTATATTAAATTTGATTTTATATTTGAAATCACAGTTTCAATATACAACTTTTCAAAATTTTATAAATAATCCTTATTTCAATTTTTATAAATACCTCTTTGACCAGATTTATCATAAAAGTAAAACTTACAATCTGAAAAAAAAGTTTTTATATTAATATTAGTCACAAAGAATAAAAAAAAACATAAAATGCATCTTCATTTTTCCTATTTAAATGAGAAATATAATTAATAATTATACTCAATATTATAATTATTAATAAAATCGAAAATACTCGAAATTGTTAATAATATCATATCGCAATTTTTTCCACAGTAATGCGAAAGGGTTTCAGGACATTAACATTTGTTGCGAAGCAGTTCCATCTTGTGCTCTGGTTGATGCCAAACATTTGCATAACTTGTGTAATATTTTCTCGTCATCATTTACATATTATTTTCCTTCAAGACCTTGTATCCTTTCTTCCTTTCAGCCCACAGATTGGACAGATTGGTATGTATGCATGTAATTTGCAATTTCTTTACTCTTGAATAAAATGTAGTGAGTTTTCGGTAATAATCGCATGACTACTCATACGATAACACGGATTATTACCGAACCTTATATTGTATACAAAACAACGAGATGTATTCACATATGTATAATTAATGAAGAACTTTATAGAAATTAAATAATTGGTAGAAAATCTGCGAAATATTATTTATTTATTAATTTGCAAATATGAAGAGTAGAAATGTCAACTCGTGTCGTGATTTAAAGCTTGCCTAATCATTTTCTAAAAAAGATTACATATTTTAAATGCTATTCAATATAACATTTTTTATTATATTATACTACTATAAAAATATATATTTTTTCGATTCCCGATTCAGCCGACTTTCAGACCAATATTTTTCTCGTCTATTTCTTTACAGAGGGGTTAAAAAAAGAACAAGGGGAATTTTGAGATCTCAACCATAAGATACGAATTCCTAAGTTTCTTAAATTTTGTGAGTATATAAAAAGAGCGTGAAAAATATATAATAAACAATTTAATTAAATCTATGTTTGTCATTATCAATTAAATATTATTACAAAGAAATATATGAACAATAAAGAAAAATGTTTAAATAGTTTTCGCTTTCATTGGAGAAAATATGTCTCACATGACAATATATTTTACAATAAATGTCTTTCATATATTAAATGTATATAATATAAATTTTATTTTTGCAATATTAATTAAATTTCATTTGTTTCAACAATTAAGTACTAACTATAGTATATATTATAATCTTTTAATTCCGCATTGCTAGAAGGAAAGATATGTAACCAGCCGAAGTTTTTAATAGCTGAAAATAATACAATATAAAAATTATTATTCAAAAAGAGAAATTTTATGAATGAAATAATTTTTAATGAATGCATATATTAATATTAACTGTATGCTTTTTCATATTTGTTATATCAATTTAATAATTTATTATATTTATTATGCATTAATAGAAAGAAGAATTCTCTCTCTGAATAAAAATTTAATATCAAATTCAATACTAAATTTAATACTGACAATAAAATTGTAACATTAGAAAAAATATTCTGATTAAATGTTTTTTTAAATAACTTATTGTTAGCAGAAGAAATACATCGCTATATTTTTTCTCTTTTTCTTTCAAAAAGATTTAAAGAATAAATATAATTTTTTAATAATTAAATTTTGTTACATTAAAAAAGAAATAGTTAATCTAACAATAAGAGCAAATTATTAAAAATCTTACGCTGACGAATGTAGTCATTGTTAGAGGCAAAACTTTTCCCGCAGTTATGCGAAAAGGTTGCTTGGCTACTGATGTTATTAGAATAAGGTTTCTCGCCTTGTGTGGCTCCAATGTATACCATTCAAGATCGCAAATTGTTCGGTATACAGCATCGCACTTAATAAAAATACAAATATATATATATATATATATATATACACACACAAAAATATAAATTAATTATATGTGTGCATCTGTAATTATAATCATATTTAAATATGCATATTTATTGTGGATTCTTATCTCGTAAATTATTTTTATAAATTTAGCGTAAAATAAATATTTATTCTAATTTTTCAAATTTTAATGTATTCATTATTATTTTAAAGAAAGCTAGAAATAAATAAAAACTTATTAAACTTTAATAAATTTACCTTATATTTTTATAAAAACGGCTTTATAAAATATATATAAACATATTAAAATATGCAATATTTACAATAATGTGTAAAATAATGTGTAGGAATTAATTAATAATTATTTATCGACAACAAAATTGATCAACACAAAAATCGCAAACATAGCAACTATATACTACATGCAAACAATGGAACTATACATACAATACAAGAAGTATTAACATTTGTGAGAAAATGATTATATTATAAACAATTGTGCAATATGCAATGCTAATTGTGCTATATGTAAGAATACATAATTTACTTGTTCCGTCATTAATTCTGCGCCAAAACAGTAGCAAAATGTTTGCAAAAGTAGAGAGACAACGACAATTGCCATAAAACTTATTTGTGAATAATTTACATTGTGTGAATTTTCATCAGTAATCACCTAAATAATTCGTATTTTGTTAATTAATAAAAACTAATATAAATTACATACTCAATCATGCTATACAACAATAAAATACATGTTATTAGAACTTACGACTTACAGTAAGCAATAAAAATCCGCATAGGCAAAATACGACAGCAAACTGGAGTATCAATACAAATAATATTAATGTAAATACATTTTCGATATTTTTGGCGTATCTATATAAACGTAAATACGTAAAAAAAGTAATATATTGAAATTCTCAAATTATACATAATAATTATTATATAATATTTTTTATTTTCAATATTGTATTTTTATACATTTTAGCATTTCGTAATAATAATACAGATAAAAAATAATCATCATAGTTTACTACAAATAAAAATAAGAATTTTATCCTACGAAGAGATTTAAAATAACAATTTTAGCAAGAAAAGATTTGATTTTAAATTGCATAAAAAAGAGAAAGAGTGAAAGAAATTTCTGTGATACATATATATAATATATAACCATATATAAGTTAAAAAAATCAGTGTATAAGTTAATAACACATTAGAGAGACAATATTTAAAATAAATTTAAAACAAACTTTAAAAATCCTTCTTCAGAACTTTTTTCTCAAAAATTTTGTATAATTTACATTGTATTGTTAGAAAAATTCACCTGATCAGACGTAAATGAATCATTATATTGCTGCTCAGAACTTTGTTGAAGTCTTTGCTCGAGACCAAGCTGATTATTCGACGCTTAAAGTTCTCCAATTGGCCGCAGATATGAAGAATCATGAGACCCAAAAGGGAATCTATCGACGTGTAAATTATAGCTCCCTGGATGACTGTTATCGCTTGAATGAGAAATGTCAACTCAAATTGTGGACTCCGATCTGTGTCGTAGAAATAATACGTCTGCAGCGGTAATGGTTTGTTCCGATCCGTGAGATTCGTTAAGTTTCTCATTTGTATACCAAAAGAGGGAAGAATAATTAGCGTAATAAATACCATTCCCATCATAAAATATCCGAACATTACGAATATCTGTGCGATTCGTGCTCGTCTTATCATCACATCCCTCTCTGCGGCCACTTTTGACGCTATCCAATCTTCCGCCATCGTGTTTATGAGGGATAACAAAACTTAAAAATATCAAAACAATCAAACCCATAATTTTACAATGCAAAAATATTAAACTAGTAAATATATTGAACTTGCAAAGTAAAAAAACAATTTTCTATACTTTATAATTTAATTCATTTTGATATGTACAGGGTGTTTCCGATACATACACATCATTATGTCGGATTGCCTATCTGCTTATCGACAGGGGCATGCTTTATGAGAAAAAGAAATCGACTTTATTACTTTGTATATGCAGTGAACACTTGTGAAATTGGACCATATAGATAAAATATATATTTAATAATATAGATAAAATAACATATAAGTAAAATTTAATAATCCAATTGTATTAAATTTTACTAAAAATATTTTTTAAATTTATCTTTAATATAATTTTTATCTATAAATATAATAAGTCATATAATAAATTTATAGTAAATATAAAAGTTATATAATAAATTTTTAGTAAATATAATAAGTCATATAATAAATTTATTATAACTTTATTAATATAAATTAATATAATAAATTTATTAATATAGATTTATTATATTAATTATATATAAACTTATTATATTCAGAGATTAAATCTATTATATGACTTATATTTACTAAAAATTTATTATATGATTTATGAATATTATATTATATTGATAGATAAAAATTATATTACAGATAAATTGAGAAATATTTTATAGTAAAATTTGATTATTAAATTTTATTTGTGTTATATTATTTATATTAATAAATATATATTTTATCTATATTATCCAATTTCACAAGTGTTCACTGTATATATAGAGTGATAAAGTCGATTTCTTTTTCTTAAAGTTTGCCAACTGATTTAAATAAGTCTTATGATTGTGTTTTATCATTACACTTTTTCAGCGCATAACATTAATGTTAATCAATTTTCTGCTATCATGTTTACAATGAATGGGAAAACTTGGACGTAAGAAAAATATCGAATTACATTAGCAGTTACACTTGTTACATACATATTGAAAAGAAAATGGTATACGTATAATTTATTCCGACAATGCAATACATATATTGTAATAATAATTCATGTACCTACAAATTTTTTGATTTTACAATCCGATGTGTGAATGTAATGATAAGTCAAGCATTATAAAAAAAGATTTTATACTAAAATGTGAAAGCTATACATGTCAAATATTTTTCGACGTACCTGTTTGTTTCCATCGCATAATAACAATTTTAACTGGTAGCACCATTACAGGTAACGTAATTCGGAAATTGTCAACCATCAGTATTAGGTCGCCCCAAACTCGTGTAAGGGCACAGAAAAGCGGAATAAGAGTTCCAAATGTTATCACAATAAAAGTAAAAGCCACGCGAATGTCAGGTCCGAATATTTTCATAGCGTCTTTATTGGTTGTAGGCCATAAACCGACCATGTTTAAATTCATACGGTTTAGTTTAACTGCCCACACAAAATCTAAAAGAATTTTTCTCATATAATAACTGTACAATTTTAATTAAGTAATAAAATGTAACACTAATTTAAAAGATGTTAATAGAAACATGGAACACACTGTAAGTAAAAAAACATACAACATCCGCGTAGTACCTTTATAACCAGAAGATTCCAACATATCCATATCGAAGACTAGTATAGATGTGTCGAAGATGGTTTGATCGGTCTCTCCATCCCATAATGAAATAACTATCACGCATGCTCGTGAAATAAATGCAATAACCATTAGTCTTATCGAAGGTATTAAATATTCAAGATGCTACTTTCAGTCGCTTACAGTTCCCTGTTTCACAAAAAAAGCTTTATGACTATAAGAATAATTAAGAACGTCTGCACTTGAGAAGATGAAAAATATATTGCATCGCTATATATCATCAAAGTTGCATTAAAAGTTTTTTATACTTTGTAACGTTCTCTCTACGTGCGTTTAATTTGAAGACATATAATATCACGTAATTGCATGTTACGTAGTGTAAAAAATTCTCTGTACAGAAAAAAACTGCAACAAAAAAAAAAAGAAAGGAAAGACTGCTAAAAAAGTATAGAATATCGCTTTACATATTTTAGACATGTTTATTGCGAGAACACATTTATTGACGAAATAATGTGAAGTGCAGTGGATGTAGAAAATTGTAAATTAAGTGTCTCTTTTTCTCTCTGTACGAGAAAAATAATATTCAATCTATAATCTTCGTCGGACTATTCTTATAACGTATGATATTTGTAATTCAAACAGGAATAATATAATTTGCAGATTAAAAGAGGTAAATGATATAAATTTTGTTTTCTGTATAACAAATATAATTATTAACACTTTTTAATATTTTTAACAGAAGAAATATATTATTTTATTCTCATTTACTGGAGAATTAAAATATAATATTAATATCCCAAGTAGCAAACTGACGTAATTAATTCGACATCAAAATGACGTCATTTTGACGTTCAATGACGTCAGTTTACTACCTAGGATGTATCACCTATGTATGTTAATACAAATGATACATAAATAATTGATGTTTATAATAGCAAAATAATATACATATATCTCTCTTCTACACACGAGAGATTTTATGAAAAAAGAAATTTTTAACGAAAATATATAACAATTTATAATATTAACCATGTTCATCTCATTTAGCGTCAACAATGAAATATACATACATGCATATAAGTATTAGGATTTTTTCGTACAAATCTTCTCATTCGAAGACCCATTTTCTTTTCCACCTTTCTCTTGGAAAGATATTTCTAAAAATCTGTAAAAGTGCAATTTAAAATATTTGACACATCACTATCAAATACAAAGAGATACGACCTGGTTTCTGCAGCTCGAAAGTTGCGCCTCTGTCGCAAGAACTGACGCAAGTAAGATTCCAATATAATTCTTATAAAAATTTCAACTAGAAATCCTCAAAAATAAAGTTTTTGTAAAACGAGAATTTTATAGAAACACCATGCAAATTTTATAGAAAAAAGAAAGATTAAAAAACCTGTGATACATATATGTGATCATGCTAAATACACGCGCAAACATATAATTCGAGCAAAACTGCAATTAAAAAAAATATTATTATTAAAATATTTATAATTAAAATTTATTTATAATTAAAATATTTATAATTAAATTATTAAAAAAATATTTATAATTAAAAGCACCATTACATGTTGGTGCGCAAATTTCTTCAATATTTGTTGCAGAGTTATCCACTAATATAACCAACGTTACACATGTGTATAAATGTCAAATTAAGTGGATTACATACCTTATCATTGTATTTAGTGTGTGTGTGTGTGTGTGTCCACATACATAAATATACATTAGAATTTTTTCGCATAAGTCTTTTCATTCTAAGCTCCATTTTTTCTCCACGTTTGCCTTTCGCTTGGAAAGATTAGCTTAAAAATAAAATAACAATTATATAGCAGCAATATAAAAAATACTTAAATAAATCATTATTGAATAAAACAACCTAGCTGCTAGCTGATTTCTGCATCTCAAAACTCGCGTCTCTGTTGCGAAATCTTATGCTAATAATTTTCCATTTGTTGATTTCAAGCAGATTTATCTCACAACGTTGAGATTTGATAAAAAAAAATACAAATAATTGTAATTACTTTTTTAAATAATAATATTGCACATAAACGCATGAACAATAAACAAAAAAGTTTAAACAATATAGATCCACTTTTTTCGCATCAAGAATACAGCAATACACGAATTTCAAATTCTTATCGAAATTTTTATATTTGTCGAAAATATTACATGTATATATATATATATATCTAATACCACACAATAATATCATTTTTAAACATCATACACATCGATTATAAGTAATATACAATTTTACTTTAACAATAACATTAATTAAATTCTCATTTATTTAATTAAATATCTCATGCAAAATGTTCAAAATTATCTAATGCTAAATGTACTGAATTTTAATTCTGCATTGTTAATAGAAGAGATATATATCCGGCCGCTGTTTTTAATAGCTGAAAATAATACATATTATTATTCAAGAAAAGAAATTTTATAAATTTTAATATAAATATTTGATAATATTGATTATAATGCTTTATCATTTATATTTATTATAAATTTTAATATTTAAATAAAGATTAAATTTTATTGGACCCAAAAAAGCATAGCTAAAATAGACGCAAGTTAATAATAAACTTACACTGCAAAAAGTGGACATTGTTAATGGAAAAATTTTTCCAGCAGTAATACAAAAAGGTTTCTCAGTTACTAACATTGGTAGAATAAGGTTTTTCGCCTGGCGTCGCTCCAATTTGTACCATTTAAGATCGCAAATACTACGAAATACCTCGTCGTACTTAAAAAATACACATTATGTACTCACACACACATATATCTATATATATATATATATATATATATATATGTATACATTTTTATTAAATGCAACATGATATACCATATATTATTATATACATGATAGATATAATATAAAACATAAAATTATGTACAAAATGCTATGCAAAGCTAATTGTGTTGTACATATAAAAAGTGACTTACATGTTCTGTTATTAAATCTCCGCCCAAGCAGTAGAGAAAAGTTTGTATAAGTATAAAGATAACACCAACTGCCATGTAACTTAGTTGTGAAATATTTGTCATGTTTATTACATTTCCATCATTAAAGAACTAAATATTTTATATATAATTAATTTAAAAAGTCAGATAAAAATACGATTTATGTGTAAACTACCACATTATCACATGTACATCGATAAAATATGTTTTTATAAAACTTACAGTAAGCAACAAATATCCGCATAAACAAAATGTGATAATAAACTGGAGTACCATTAAAAACATTATTGAGGTAAATATATTTTCAGTATTATTGACATATCTATATAAACATAATATATGGAAAGATGTATATTCAAAATTCTTGAATTGTAATAGTAATAGTTATATATATATATATATATATATATATATATATATATATATATATGATGACGTCCGATCGGACGTTTCGCGTCAAAAGACACACCGGGTTGCCCATTTTTCACTTTAGAGTAGAAGGTCGTATTAGGACTTAAATTTGAAATATAATAATAAAAATGTTGACTAATAAGGAGTTCCGTAAGTGTAATTTTTGTAAAAAAAAGAACTAATATCAATAATTAAAAAAAGACTAAATAAAAGATATCTATGATAAATAATCACATGTACGCTAAAAGTATAAAAGTAATAACGAAAATAAAACATGAAAGAGACAATGTTTGAGACAGATTTAACATAAAAATTAAAAAAAAATTATTTTCTAGTATTAAAATTTCCTCAGAAAGATTATGCTTTGTTACAAACATTTTTACAATCGAAACTTACCTGATTAGACGTAAATGAGTTATTACGATGCTACTCAGAGTCGTATTAAATTGTTTGCACGGGAGCAAATTAAGCATTTGATTCTTGAAGTTTTCCAATTGACCGCAGATATGAAAAATCATAAATATCAAAAATGTTTGTACCCCAAAATGAATCATTAATGCTTGAAAAAGTGCTATGGCCTGAGTGAGAAATGTCAATTCAAATTGCGGACTCTTATCAGTGTCGTACAAATAATAGGTCTGGAACGGTAATGGCTTGTTCCGATCCGTGAGATTCGATAAATGTCTGAATGGTATGTGAAAATAGGGAATAATGATGACCAAAACGTATCCTAATATTAATGCAATAAATATATAAAATATTAATAATCGAGTAGTCCAAGCACGCTTCATCATTACATCTCTCTCAGCTCTTTGCTTTAGCGATAACCAATCTTCCGCTATCATGTTTATGATAGATGACAGAACTTGCAAATATAAAAAACGCTACATCAATAACATGCATAAAATGTCGAATCACATTAGTAATTCCTTGTTAACTTATCGAAATAAAGTAGTATATATATACCTATATCAAAATTTATTTTAACAATATATTATGATATATTGTGAATAAAATCATATTATTATAATTTGATACGTAGTTATAGTAGATGATAGATTAGTAATGAGTTAAACGCTATCAAAAGCTTTACAAAGAAATAAAATAAGTACCTTAAAATAGAAAAATTTCTAAACATACCTGTTTGTTTCCATCGAAAGATAATAAGTTCTAATAAAATTGTCAGGGGAAATATTGTAATTCGTAAATTGTCTATCATTAGCGTCATATCGCCCGAAACACGTATCAGCGCATGTACCATAGGAATACCAAGGGCAAATGTTAACATAATAAAAGAGAAGCCCACACGAATGTCAGAATCTAGTTTTCCTTTAGTGATTCCATCAGTTTTAGGCCATAAGCCGACGAATTCTAAGCTCAGACGATTTAGTAGAATTGCCCATACGAAATCTTTAAAGACATTTTTTTAAACTTGAATAATAGTTCCAAATTCATAGCGATTGTGAATTTTTATAATAAAGTAATGACTACTCAATGTACGATTATATATATATATATATATATATATATATATATATATATATATGTATGTAATATAATAAATATATTTGTAACACAATTTTAATTTTGAAATGTTTAGCAAAAATTAAAATATTGCAAATTAGAAGTAAAACATATGTATAACGTATATGCTATGAATAAAAAATGTACGAGATAGGCTTCCTACCTCTGTAACGTGAAGATTCCGATGTGTTCATGTCGAAAGTTAACACGTATGTATCAGTTAAAAAAGTGTTGATCGTCGTATTCTTTCCATTTAATAATGAGACGACTGTCACGCATGCTCGCGAAACAAGTGCTATAACCTGCCTCCCCTATCGAAAGATGCATTAAATATTTAAGATGCTACTTTTAGTTGCTAACAAATAGCCTGTTTTGTAACAAAACTTTTCGAGACATGAGGAATAGTTAGAAACATCTGCTTAGAGGCGAAATAAACTGTTTTGCTACAAACTGTTTTGATGAATGTAGTAACTAAATTTTTTTTTCATAGTATGTAACGTTCCACGAACGCGCGTTTAATTTGAAAAAATGGCATGTAATTACATGTTATGTAGTGAAAAAAAATTTCTGTACAGCAAAAACTGTAGCAAAAAAAAGAAAGGGTATAGAATAAAGAAGATAAAAAAACTTGTTGGACATTTCACATTTGCTATAAATAGAAATATGTATAATGTGGGCTTATACCTTTGTAACCTGAAGATTACGATTGGTCCACGTCGAATGTTCACGCGTACATGTTGAAGAAATGTTGACCATCGTACACTTCCCATCGTATATATAATAAAATAACTGTCACGCATGCCCTTGAAAAGGGTGCAATAGCCTGGCTGCTTCGTCAAAAAATGCATTAAATATTGAAGATGTTACTTACAGTTGCTAACGAGTTGCCTGTGTCATAAAAAAACTTTATGACCATCGCAGAGAAGGAACGAACATCTGTTTTTATAAGGCGAGAAGAATATTGTGACACTAAGTATCGTCGAATTTGAATTAAAAGTTTTTCCTACTGCAGTGTAACATGCATTTCATTTGAAGATACAGTGGTAATAGTTTAGATAGAAATTTTTAGTATAGCAAAAAGTTGCAGCAAAGAAAAAAGAAAAAGTTACAATGAAGGAGGTATAGATTGTCGCATTTACTTTTACGTGTTTCACATGTATGGTGCAAGAACACATTATTGATGTCATCGAAATAAATGCAGGTAGGTAATTTTTTAAATTAAGTTTAGTTTCTTCTTTCTCTATACGAGAAAATAATGTTATTTCAATCTATAGTTTTTATCGGACTATTTTTATAACACAATTTGTAATCTTCAAATTAAAATAACATTATTTACAGTAAACGAGGTAAAATAAAAATTAATTTTTTGTATAAGAAATATTAATTAATAAAATTTGTAGTAATTTTAAGAAAAGATAGAAAGTAATATATTCTTTCTTCTTATTCTTCTTTATTGGAATTAATGTAATATTAGTATATGTTATATACCAGCTCGATATTTTAAATCTTTTCGAAAAAAGGCATGCACAGTCGATTATCGCAAATATTGTTGCTACTAATCGCGATTCTGATTCATTATCTCGATTAATATGGTGTGTTATATTAATAGCATCAAGCAACTGTTATCATGAGATTTAACAGTTGTAAAATAAAGAGTTTGACAATTGTATAATAAAAAGTAAAACCAATATTATAATTAAATTTGATAACAAAACTGAGTTTGGTTTATGAGTTGACACAATTACTTTGATATGTAACTTTCTACCGCATTAACAAATCTCCTTATAAATACTAAATTTAAGTAGCATATATATATATATATATATATATATATATATATAATATATATATATATATATATATAAAAGATATATATACATATATATATAAAACATTTAAAATATCGAGCTGGTACGTAAAATATACTAATATTACATTAATTCCAATAAAGAAGAATAAGAAGAAATAATATATATCTTTCTATCTCTTCTTAAAATTACTACAAATTATATATATATATATATATATATATATCATTTCGCTTAATCTAACCAAATATAATTACACATGTAAAGCGAATAAGTTATATTATTCTTTCATAATAAAATCTCAAACATTGCAGCGCATGCATGCAAAAATTATTATTGCATAAAAATTCATATTTAATCTTTAACAGAAAATAAGAACACAGAAATAAAATTTACTACAGGAATCTTTTGTGATCAAATATCTATGCTTTTATTAGACTTGCGCGAGACTTTATACCCCATATATCTGTCACACTGCGCGGCTCGCGCGAAACTGATTCTCGTTCGAGGTATCGCGAGCGCGTAACCGAGGTCACGTGGTCATTGGTCACCTGACACTGGTCACGTGACCACTGGTCATTTGACTATCGGTTTCACGTTCGCGATACCTCGCACGAGTATTAGTTTCGCGCGAGCCGCGCACCGTAATGGATGTATGAGATGTATTAATTTGATCACTTGATTACTTTCGCGCGAACCATGCTGCGTAGCGGACGTATACAGACGCGCGAATCTAATGGAAGCGCACATTTTTTAATCGAAAGTCTTGTAGAGAATTATATTTTCTGTTTTCTGTTAAAATTTATATATTGAATTTTTATGAAACACGTAATTAACAAATATGTTTCTATGCTTGCGTTGCAATAATAATTTTATACATGCGTCGTAATTTTTAAAGTTTTATTACTAAAAAATAATATAACTTCGCTTCGCGCACGTAATTATATTCAATTAAATTAAACAAAATGAGAAAAAATATACAAAGAGATACCTTTATAGTAGTTTATTTATATTTTCATTTATTTATTATCTATATTTTTATTTTTATAAGGGACATCTATACAAAATAGTTCTTAAACAATAAAATATAAATTCGGCAAATTAGAATTATGTACATAATAAAAATTTGGCGAATTAAAATTATGGTCATAGCATTAAGCAACTGCTATTGCAAAGATTAACAATTTGACAGTTGTAAAATAAATAATAGAAACAATATTAAAAGCGCGTACGAAGGTCGCGCTTGTGTAGGCCAATATTGCTTGAAAAACAATATATAAATAGTCTATGATTTTAATAGCACACAAATAAAATATATTTTTATTCAAGAGAAGACATTTTACAAGAAAATGAATAATTTTTAACGAAAATATATGATAATTTTAACTGTATTATTTCAGTTATATTAAAATAATTTTTTTATATACGTAAATAGAGCAAAGCTATTTTTTTTCTATTTAAAAGTTTAATTTTTCTACTAATCTATTTATTGTTAAAACATAATTATTCGAGCAAAAATGCAATTAAAGAAGAAAAGTATAAAAGGCATCACATTTCATGTCCAAAATTGATCTATTGATTGCACAGACATATATACATATATATCTACAAATATTACACATATAATAAATACTGCCAAAATAAATGGATTATCAAGAAGAAAGCAATACACGAATTTCAAATTCTTATCGAGATTCTTATATTTGTCGAAAATATTACATGTATATATAGGGTGTTCCATAATTCGCGAATCACCTTTCATGGGCAGATAGAACGTGTTAAACTGAATAGAAAAGTCCTGTATCATTTTGCGATATTCGCAATAATTATTGAGTTATTAACTAAAATATCTAAACGAATGAGCGGGTAGAAAGCGATAGGCCGGACTCATTGTCAGTGTGCATGTCGGATGACTTATTTGTTATATGCCGCTTAGTATCAAAAGTATCATCTTACTTTTCGGCGCCACTACATTGGTCGCCGCTCGCCGCCTCTCGATCAAATAATGATTTCTACCTGCTTATTCGTTTAGATATTTTAATAAATAACTCATTAATTATTGCGAATATCGCAAAATGATACATGAATTTTCTATTCAGTTTAACACGCTCTATCTGCCCATGAAAGGTGATTCGCGAATTATGGGACACCTTGTATATCCAATACCACACAATAATATCATTTTTTAAACATCAGACATTGATCATAAGTAATAAACAATTTTACTTTAACAATAACATCAATTAAATTCTCATTTATTTAATTAAATATTTCATGCTAAGTGTTCAAAATTATCTAATGCTAAATGTACTGAATTTTAATTCTGCATTGTTAGTAGAAGAGATATATATCCGGCCGCTGTTTTTAATAGCTGAAAATAATACATACTATTTTTCAAGAAAAGAAATTTTATGAATTTTAATATAAATATTTGATAATATTGATTATAATGCTTTATCATTTATATTTATTATAAATTTAATCTATAAAATTAATCTATATTTAAATATAGATTAAGTTTATTGGACCCAAAAAAACATAGCTAAAATAGACGCAAGTTAATAATAAACTTACACTGCAAAAAGTGGACATTGTTAGTGGAAACATTTTTCCTGCAGTGATGCAAAAAGGTTTCTCAGTTACTAACATTGGTAGAATAAGGTTTCTTGCCTGGCGTCGCTCCAATATGTACCACTTAAGATCGCAAATAGTACGGTATACCTCGTCGTACTTATTATTACGTACGCACACACACACACACATATATATATATATATATATATATATATATATATATGTATACATTTTATTAAGTGCAACATGATTTAGCATATATTGATATGTACATGATAGATTTATTATGAAACAAAATTATGTACACAATACTATGCAATGCTAATTATGTTGTATATGAATATGTGACTTACATGTACTGCTATTAAATCTCCGCCCAAGCAATAGAGAAAGATTTGTGCAAGTACCAAGAAAACAGCAGTTCCCATGAAACTTATTTGAGAAATATTGGCCATATTTATTATATTTCCATCACTAATTAACTAAATTATATACAATTAATTAAAAAAGTCAAATAGAGATATAATGAATTATACATAAACAATCATATGTACGTCTATAAAATATATTCTTATAAAACTTACAGTAAGCAATAAATATCCGTATAAACAAAATGTGATATAAAACTGGAGTACCATTAAAAACATTATTGAGGTAAATATATTTTCAGTATTATTGACATATCTATATAAACATAATATATGGAGAGATTTTGTATTAAAAATTCTCAAATTGGAATAGTAATAGTTATATATATATATATATATATTTATACAAGAGCGGCCACAGAATTTTTCATAGGGACAGGGCATTTCACTTCCACATTAATTGAAAAAAAAATAAAAAAATTTATGCTTTGATATTTTTACAAATATTATTAGTATTAAAGTATTCTCACGACAAGGTAAATCTAAATCGAAAAAAGATTTTTGTTTTTTTTCAGCGTTTTTAACAATTTTTTAAATATTCTATTTTCCATGGGGAGAGTGGTAAAGTGTTCCTTTTGCCCTCATCCCCCAATGCCTTACGCGAGACCGCCCATGTATATATCATATTTTTTATTTATTTTTGTAATGCATTGCTTCCCAAAATTGTATTTTGACATTTTTTAATTATAATACAGAGGTAAATAATCCTCGAATTTTATAGTTCAATAAAAATCATAATAAAAAGGTTGATTAATAAGGAGTCTCATATAAGTGTAATTTTTGTAAAAAAGGAACCAATATCAAAATAATTAAAAAAAAACTAAATAAAAGTGATATATATGATAAATAATCACATGTACGCTAAAAGTATAGGAGTAATAACAAAAATAAAACAAGACAATGTTTAAGACAGATTTAACATTTAAAAATTAAACAAAAATTATTTTCCAGTATTAAAATTTCCTCAGAGAGATTATGCTTACTTACAAACATTGTTACAATCGAAACTTACCTGATTAGACGTAAATGAGTCATTACGATGCTACTCAAAGCCGTATTGAATTCTTTGGATGAGAGTAAATTAAAAATTTGATTCTTCAAGTTTTCCAGTTGACCGCAGATATGAAAAATCATAAATACCAAAAATGTGTGTACCCCATAATGAATCATTAACACTTGAAAAAGTGCTATGGCCTGGGTGAAAAATGTCAATTCAAATTGCGGACTCTTATCAGTGTTGTACAAATAATAAGTCTGAAACGGTAATGGCTTGTTCCGATCTGTGAGATTTGTTAATGATCTGAGTGGTATGTCAAAATAGGGCATAATGATGACTAAAACGTATGCTAATATAAGTGTAATAAATAAAGATAACATGAATAATCGAGTAGTCGAAGCACGCTTCCTCATTACATCTCTCTCAGCTCTTTGGTTTAGCGACAACCAATCCTCCGCTATCATGTTTATGATAGATGACAGAACTTGGAAATATAAAAAACGCTATATCGATAAATTGCAAAAAAATGTCCAATTACACATTAGCAATTACTTGTTAAATTAACAAAAAAATATATATATATACCTATCAAAATTTATTCTAACAATATATTGTGATATATTGTGAATGAAATCGTATACATTTCTTTAATTATTATTATAATTTGATACGTAGTTTTAGTAGATGTAATATGAGTTGAACGCTATCAAAAGCTTTATAAAGAAATAAAATAAGTACTTTAAAACAAAAAAATTTCTAAACATACCTGTTTGTTTCCATCGAAATATAATAAGTTCTAATAAAATTGTCAGGATAACTATTGTAAATCGTAAATTGTCTATCATTAGCGCCATATTTCCCGAAACACGTATCAGCGCATGTACCATAGGAATAAGAAGGGCAAATGTTAACATAATAAAAGAGAAACCCACACGAATGTCAGAATCTAGTTTTCCTTTTCTGACTCCGTCAGTTTTAGGCCATAAACCGAGGAATTCTAAGCTCAGACGATTTAGTAGAGTTGCCCATAGGAAATCTTTAAATCAAATTTTTTAAATTTGAATAATAATTACAAAATGTAGATATTGCTACTTTTGAAAATAGTAATGATAATGCAATGTACGATTCTATATGTACATACATTAACATAATGTATATATATACATACATATATATATATATATATATATATATATATATATATATTTGTATCACAATTTTAATTATAAAATATTTTGTAAAAATTAAAATATTGCAAATTTATAAATAGAAAATGTGTATAACGCATATGCTATAAATAAAAATGTATGAGATAAATTTCATACCTTTGAAATTTGAAGATTTCGATGTGTTCATGTCAAAGGTCAACACGTATATGTTGAAATAGTGTTGATCGTCGTATTCTTTCCATCTAATAAAAGGATGACTGTCACGCATGCTCGCGAAACAAGTTCTATAACGTACCTTTCCCATCGAAAGATGCATTAAATATTCAAGATGCTACTTTCAGTTGCTAACAATTAGCCTGTTTTGTAACAAAACTTTTCGAGACATGAGGAATAGTTAGAAACATCTGCTTAGAGGCGACGGGAAATAAACTGTTTTGCTACAAACTGTTTCGATGAATGTAGCAACTAAATTTTTTTTTCATAGTATGTAACGTTCCACGAACGCGCGTTTAATTTGAAAAAATGGCATGTAATTACATGTTATGTAGTGAAAAAAAATTTCTGTACAGCAAAATCTATAGCTAAAAAAAAGAAAGGGTATAGAATAAAGAAGATAAAAAAACTTGTTGGACATTTCACATTTGCTATAAATAGAAATATGTATAACGTGGGCTTATACCTTTGTAACCTGAAGATTCCAATTGGTCCACGTCGAATGTTCACACGTACATGTTGAAGAGGTGTTGACCATCGTACTCTTCCCATCGTATATGTAATAAAATAACTGTCACGCATGCCCTTGAAAAGGGTGCAATAGCCTAGCTGCTTCGTCAAAAAACGCATTAAATATTGAAGATGTTACTTGCAGTTGCTAACAAGTTGCCTGTGTCATAACAAAACTTTATGACCATCGCAGAGAAGGAACGAACATCTGTTTTTATAAGGCGGGAAGAATATTGTGACACTAATAAGTATCGTCGAATTCGAATTAAAAGTTTTTCCTACTGCAGTGTAACATGCATTTCATTTGAAGATACAATGGTAATAATTTGGAAAGAAATTTTTAGTATAGCAAAAAGTTGCAGCAAAAAAAAAAGAAAAAGTTACAATGAAGGAGGTATAGAATGTCGCATTTACTTTTACGTGTTTTACATGTATGGAGCAAGAACACATTATTGATGTCATCGAAATAAGTGCAGGTAGGTAATTTTTTAAATTAAGTTTAGTTTCTTCTTTCTCTATACGAGAAAATAATGTTATTTCAATCTATAGTTTTTATCGGACTATTTTTATAACACAATTTGTAATCTTCAAATTAAAATAACATTATTTACAGTAAACAAGGTAAAATAAAAATTAATTTTTTGTATGAGAAATATTAATTATTAAAATTTGTAGTAATTTTAAGAAGAGATAGAAAGTAATATATTCTTTCTTCTTATTCTTCTCTATAATTAATGTAATATTAGTATATGTTATATACCAGCTCGATATTTTAAATCTTTTCGAAAAGAGGCATGCACAGTCGATTATCGCAAATATTGTTGTTACTAATCGCGATTCTGATTCATTATCTCGATTAATATGATGTGTTATATTAATAGCATCAAGCAACTGTCATCATGAGATTTAATAGTTGTAAAATAAAGAGTTTGACAGTTGTATAATAAAAAGTAAAAACAATATTATAATTACACTTGATAACAAAACTGAGTTTGATTTATGAGTTGACACAATTACTTTAATATGTAACTTTCTACCGTATTAACAAATCTCCTTATAAATACTAAATTTATGTAGCATATATATATATATATATATTTATATCATTTTGTTTAATCTAACCAAATATAATTACGCATGCAAAGCGAATAAGTTATATTATTCTTTCATAATAAAATCTCAAAAATTGCAGCGCATGCATGCAAAAATTATTATTGCATAAAAATTCATATTTAATCTTTAACAGAAAATAAGAACACAGAAATAAAATTTACTACAAGAATCTTTTGTGATCAAATATCTATGCTTTTATTAGACTTGCGCGAGACTTTATACCCCATATATCTGTCACACTGCGCGGCTCGCGCGAAACTGATTCTCGTTCGAGGTATCGCGAGCGCGTAACCGAGGTCACGTGGTCACTGGTCATATGACACTTGTAACGTGCCCAGTGGTTATGTGACCATCGGTTCCACGCTCGCAATACCCCGCACGAGTTTAGTTTCGCGCGAGCCGCGCACCGTAATGGATGTATGAGATGTATTAATTTGATCACTTGATTACTTTCGCGCGAACCATGCTGCGTAGCGGACGTATACAGACGCGCGAATCTAATGGAAGCGCACATATTTTGATCGAAAGTCTTGTAGAGAATTATATTTTCTGTTTTCTGTTAAAATTTATATATTGAATTTTTATGAAACACGTAATTAACAAATATGGTTCTATGCATGCGTTGCAATAATAATTTTATACATGCGTCGCAATTTTTAAAGTTTTATTACTAAAAAAATAATCTAACTTTGCTTCGCGCACGTAATTATATTTAATTAAATTAAACAAAATGAGAAAAAATATACAAAGAGATACCCCTTATAGTAGTTTTTTTATATTTTCATTTATTTATTATCTATATTTTTATTTTTCTAAGAACATCTATACAAAATAGTTCTTAAACAATAAAATATAAATAAAGTATTATACATATAAAAGGCTAATAAGAGCAGAAGTAATATTACGGTTATAAAAAAAACTAATTTATTACATTTAATCAATATATACTAATAGAAACAATAAAGTTTAAATTAATATAAAAATATAAAAATAAACTCGAAAGTTAAAACAAATGGAAAAGCGAACGTTTTGATCCAATTTTTCGGATCTTCTTCAGCGCAGTACACAAAGCAAATTAAAATCACAAAAATCTAAAGTTCATGTTTAACGTATAAAAGTCTAATAAACATATTTAAACGCGGTTACATCAATAAACGAAATAAAACATAGTAAGATTAACACTAAGATGATTCTCACTATATAAAATATAAATTCGGCAAATTAGAATTATGTACATAATAAAAATTTGGCGAATTAAAATTATGGTCATAGCATTAAGCAACTGTTATTGCGAAGATTAACAATTTGACAGTTGTAAAATAAATAATAGAAACAATATTAAAGGCGCGTACGAAGGTCGCGCTTGTGTAGGCTAGTATTGCTTGAAAAACAATATATAAATAGTCGATGATTTTAATAGCACACAAATAAAATATATTTTTATTCAAGAGGAGACATTTTACAAGAAAATGAATAATTTTTAACGAAAATATATGATAATTTTAACTGTATTATTTCAGTTATATTAAAATAATTTTTTTATATACGTAAATAGAGCAAAGCTATTTTTTTTCTATTTAAAAGTTTAATTTTTCTACTAATCTATTTATTGTTAAAACATAATTATTCGATCAAAAATGCAATTAAAGAAGAAAAGTATAAAAGGCATCACATTTCATGTCCAAAATTGGTCTATTGAGTGCACAGACATATATACACATATATATCTACAAATATTACACATATAATAAATACTACCAAAATAAATGGATTATCAAAAAGAAAGCAATACACGAATTTCAAATTCTCATCGAAATTCTTATATTTGTCGAAAATATTACATGTATATACAGGGTGTTCCATAATTTGCGAATCACCTTTCATGGGCAGATAGAGCGTGTTAAACTGAATAGAAATGTCCGGGTAGAAGTAGCGGGTAGAAAGCGATAGGCCGGACTCATTGTCAGTGTGCATGTCGGATGACATATTTGTTATATGCCGCTTAGTATCAAAAGTATCATCTTACTTTTCGGCGCCACTACATTGGTCGCCGCTCGCCGCCTCTCGATCAAATAATGATTTCTACCTGCTTATTCGTTTAGATATTTTAATAAATAACTCATTAATTATTGCGAATATCGCAAAATGATACATGAATTTTCTATTCAGTTTAACACGCTCTATCTGCCCATGAAAGGTGATTCGCGAATTATGGGACACCTTGTATATCCAATACCACACAATAATATCATTTTTTAAACATCAGACATTGATCATAAGTAATAAACAATTTTACTTTAACAATAACATCAATTAAATTCTCATTTATTTAATTAAATATTTCATGCTAAGTGTTCAAAATTATCTAATGCTAAATGTACTGAATTTTAATTCTGCATTGTTAGTAGAAGAGATATATATCCGGCCGCTGTTTTTAATAGCTGAAAATAATACATATTATTATTCAAGAAAAGAAATTTTATGAATTTTAATAAAAATATTTGATAATATTGATTATAATGCTTTATCAATTATATTTATTATAAATTTTAATATTTAAATAGAGATTAAATTTTATTGGACCCAAAAAAGCATAGCTAAAATAGACGCAAGTTATTAATAAACTTACACTGCAAAAAGTGGACATTGTTAGTGGAAACATTTTTCCTGCAGTAATGCAAAAAGGTTTCTCAGTTACTAACATTGGTAGAATAAGGTTTCTTGCCTGGCGTCGCTCCCATGTGTACCATTTAAGATTGCAAATAGTACGGTATACCTCGTCGTACTTATTATTACGTACGCACATACACACACACACACACACACATATATATATATATATATATATATATATATATATATGTATACACTTTATTAAGTGCAACATGATTTAACATATATTAATATGTACATGACAGATTTATTATGAAACAAAATTACGTACACAATACTATGCAATGCTAATTATGTTGTACATATGAATATGTGACTTACGTGTACTGTTATTAAATCTCCGCCCAAGCAACAGAGAAAGATTTGTACAAGTACCAAGACAACAATAAGTCCTATGAAACTTATTTGAGAAATATTGGCCATATTTATTACATTTCCATCACGAATTAACTAAATTTTTTATATACAATTAATTAAAAGAGTCAAATAGAGATATAATGAATTATATATATGTAAACAATCATATGTACGTCTATAAAATATGTTCTTATAAAACTTACAGTAAGCAATAAATATCCGCATAAACAAAATGTGATATAAAACTGGAGTACCATTAAAAACATTATTAAGGTAAATATATTTTCAGTATTATTGACATATCTATATAAACATAATATATGGTAAGATTTTGTATTAAAAATTCTCAAATTGTGTAATAGTAATAGTTATATATATATATATATATATATATTTATACAAGAGCGGCCACAGAATTTTTCATAGGGACAGGGCATTTCACTTCCACATTAATTGAAAAAAAATAAAAAAATTTATGCTTTGATATTTTTACAAATATTATTAGTATTAAAGTATTCTCACGACAAGGTAAATCTAAATCGAAAAAAGATTTTTGTTTTTTTTCAGCGTTTTTAACAATTTTTAAATATTCTATTTTCCATGGGGAGAGTGGTAAAGTGTTCCTTTTGCCCTCATCCCCCAATGCCTTACGCGAGACCGCCCATGTATATATCATATTTTTTATTTATTTTTGTAATGCATTGCGTCCCAAAATTGTATTTTGACATTTTTTAATAATAATACAGAGGTAAATAATTCTCGAATTTTATTGTTCAATAAAAGTCATAATAAAAAGGTTGACTAATAAGAAGTTTCATAAGTGTAATTTTTGTAAAAAAAGAACCACTATCAATAATTTAAAAAAGACTAAATAAAAGCGATATATATGATAAATAATCACATGTACGTTAAAAGTATAGGAGTAATAACAAAAATAAAACATAAAAGAGACAATGTTTAAGACAGATTTAACATTTAAAAATTAAACAAAAATTATTTTCCACTATTAAAATTTCCTTAGAGAGATTATGCTTACTTACAAACATTGTTACAATCGAAACTCACATGATTAGACGTAAATGAGTCATTACGATGCTACTCAAAGCCGTATTGAATTCTTTGGATGAGAGTAAATTAAAAATTTGATTCTTGAAGTTTTCCAGTTGACCGCAGATATGAAAAATCATAAATACCAAAAATGTGTGTACCCCATAATGAATCATTAACGCTTGAAAAAGTGCTATGGCCTGGATGAAAAATGTCAATTCAAATTGCGGACTCTTATCAGTGTCGTACAAATAATAGGTCTGGAACGGTAATAGCTTGTTCTGATCTGTGAGATTTGTTAATGGTCTGAGTGGTATGTCAAAATAGGTAGTAACGATAACTAAAACGTATGCTAATATAAATGTAATAAATAAAGATAACATGAATAATCGAGTATTCGAAGCACGCTTCCTCATTACATCTCTCTCAGCTCTTTGCTTTAGCGATAACCAATCCTCCGCTATCATGTTTATGATAGATGACAGGACTTGGAAATATAAAAAACGCCATATCGATAAATTGCAAAAAGATGTCGAATTACACATTAACAATTACTTGTTAAATTAACAAAAAAAAATATATACCTATCAAAATTTATTCTAACAATATATTGTGATATAATGTGAATGAAATCGTATACATTTCTTTAATTATTATTATAATTTGATACGTAGTTATAGTAGATGTAATAATATGAGTTGAACGCTATCAAAAGCTTTACAAAGAAATAAAATAAGTACTTTAAAACAAAAAAATTTCTAAACATACCTGTTTGTTTCCATCGAAATATAATAAGTTCTAATAAAATTGTCAGGATAACTATTGTAAATCGTAAATTGTCTATCATTAGCGCCATATTTCCCGAAACACGTATCAGCGCATGTACCATAGGAATAACAAGGGCAAATGTTAACATAATAAAAGAGAAACCCACACGAATGTCAGAATCTAGTTTTCCTTTAGTGATTCCATCAGTTTTAGGCCATAAGCCGACAAATTCTAAGCTCAGACGATTTAGTAGAGTTGCCCATAGGAAATCTTTAAATCAAATTTTTTTAATTTGAATAATAATTACAAAATGTAGATTGTGATACTTTTGAAAATAGTAATGATAATGCAATGTACGATTCTATATGTACATAAATTAACATAATATATATAAATATATATATATATATATATATATATATATATATATTTGTATCACAATTTTAATTACAAAATATTTTGTAAAAATTGAAATATTGCAAATTTATAAATAGGAAATGTGTATAACGTATATGCTATGAATAAAAATATATGAGATGAATTTCATACCTCTGAAATTTGAAGATTCCGATGTGTTCATGTCGAAGGTCAACACGTATGTACCTATATGTTGAAATAATGTTGATCGTCGTATTCTTTCCATCTATTAAAAAGATGACTGTCACGCATGCTCGCAAAACAAGTGCTATAACGTACCTTCCCCATCGAAAGGTGCATTAAATATTTAAGATGCTACTTTCAGTTGCTAACAAGTTTCCTGTTTTGTAACAAAACTCTATAACCATAAGAATAGTTACGAACATCTGTTATTATGAAGCGGTATATTTTGTCTCTATACTTCTATCGTCGAACTTGCATTAAAAGTTTTTTTTACTTTGTAACGTTCCATGAACATGCGTTTAATTTGAAGATACAGTAGCATGTAATTGCACGTTACGCAGTGGAAAATGTTTTCTGTGCAGCAAAAAGTTGTAGCAAAAAAGAAATAAAAGGCCACAATAAAGAAGATATAAAATGTGTTGCCTTTACGTATGTTTGGTTCAAGAGCACATATATTGTACGTTGCAGTTTAAGTGCATTAAGTGCATTTGTGGATTAGAAAATTTTAAATTAAGAGTATTATTTTATTCTGTACAAAAAATGGTATTCAAATATAGACTAAAAGGGACTATTCTTATTACAATAATAATTATAATATTCAAACATGAATAATATTCTACGTAAAAGAGAGAACATTGAAGTAAATAGTATAATTTTATTCTATAATGTAGGTAATTATTTTTTTTATTAATAATTTTAACTAGAGGAAAATAAATTTTGTCTCTCGTATTCTCATTTATTTGAATTAATGTAATACTATTATGTAATATCAGTTTAATTTCTCTAATGCTGCATTGTCAATAAAAAGGATATATAACCAGCCGATGTTTTTACTAGCTGAAAATAAAAATATCTTTACTCAGATTTTTTCACAAAACTATAAAGTAAAATTTTTAAAACATAATTTTAAAATAATTTTATTATAATTATAAGATAGTAAAATTTTATTATTAATAATAATTTTTTGTCTAATAAAGTTTATATACATATACTTATGTCTGTGTACAAGAATGGTTTACATATAATGTTAGTATACAAAAAAAAATTCAGACATATGGCTTATAAAAATCAGACATGTAGAAAATAAGCAATTTTTTCTTAAACTTTTCTTAAATTAATTTGTATGTTTGTTTTAATCTACTTGCTGTAACTTTCATTATTTTATTTGGATTGTCTTTAGCAGACCATTGACAAAATAATTAGAAAATTTATTGTAATTGATTCTCATATGTTCTGATGTTTCCAGTAAGTCTTCCAGTGATGAAAATAAGCGCGAAAAAGAACCAGGAATAAAAAACGTACGTCATTATGTTGACAAAATATAAAACAGTTATAATTTTCGGAATAAGAATCAAGGCGCACCTAGTTTTTTCATTATTATTTTATCAGTTGATCTTTTGAAAATGATTCAACAAAATTCATTCATATATTAATTAAAGAAGATTTTTAGAAATGTTTTCTATTTGCTACGTCTGCTTTTCATCAATTCATTTTCTGCCTTAATTTTTTATATTTAAATATTAAATCCTTTTTATTATTTGTTTTAAGGAATATTTTTTAATATTTGTCAGCGGCAGTGAGAGGAAATATGTCCAGTGCATTTATTTATTACTCCATTTTAATGATAAATATGATTAATAATTATATTTTATTACATATAGATATATAAAAGAGAGGGAAGAGAGATTGTAGTTAAATTAGAAATTATTAATAAACTTACGCTGCAAAAAGTAGTCATGGTTAGTGGAACAATCTTTCCTGCAGTAATACGAAAAGGTTCTTGAATTCGTACCAATAATATAATGAGATTTCTGGCTTGTCTAGAATCCCATTTGTACCACTCAAGATCGTATACAGTACGATATATTGTTTCACACTTAACAAAAAAATAATATACCCATATTATTTGAAAATATCGACCACTTTTATAAATACTAAGAAAAATTAAATAAAATTATATATAAAATAACAAAACAGTGACGTAAAATAATTTTTTTATTAATATATAAATATGCTTACTATATTTATTACAAAAAAATGCGTATAAGCTTTGAAATTATAAATAAATATATCTACATATTTATGTATATACATATACATATAAAGTTGTAACTTACTTGTTCTGTTAGTAGCTCTCCAACATAGCAATAGAATAACATTTCCACAAAAAAAGCTATGACAACAATTATCATGTAGTATAGTTCTGAGACATTTTCAACATTTATCTTACCACCCTTAATCACCTGAATAATATCTTACTAATTAATAAAAATCAAGAAAAAAAGATAAGATAAAATAAAGTAGATAATAATAATAATAATAATTATACACATATAAATGCACACACAATGCAAACTGCACAAACTGTAAATTTTAATCTTAATAAAAGTTCAAAATACATTTAATACTGTTAATATGTAATTTATATTACCAAAACTTACAATAAGCAACATAAATCCGGCTAAGCAAAATGCAACGGCAAAATATATAATCGAGAAGAACATCATCAAAGTGAAAATATCTTCGATGTTATTGAAATACCTCAAACATAGAACATATTTGAAAAGCTATTATATTAAAACTAAAAAAATTATACATTTAGAATATAATACAAAAATACAGATTAAAATTATACAGTGTCTATAAATAAAATATACAACTTTATAAAATACGGTACGAATATTATATTAATGTGTGGATAATTTTTACGAGTTACGAGTGTATTGAAAATTAAAATAATAATCAATTTTGACAAATTTGTTCAAAAAATTGTATTATAGAACGAAAAATACGGTACGAATATTATATTAATGTGTGGATAATTTTTACGAGTTATGAGTGTATTGAAAATTAAAATAATAATCAATTTTGACAAATTTTGTTCAAAAAATGGTAATATAATTCGATATAATTTAATTTAATAATTTTAAATGTGAGCAATGATATGAAATCTGAATTTTTGCAAATAAGGCATTTTTAATATCATTTTATATAAAAAAAAAAGAAAAAATTTTTTATTTATTAATAGTGATATACATTGCATCTGTGTAATCATCAAATACCATATATTGTATGATTATCGCATAATAAAATAATTGCTATCTATGAAAGTAAATCTATGAAAATTAAAAATAAATAATAAAAAAATCCTAATAATATGTCAAAGCGCAAAAAATTCGTTAATTAATTATGCAACGCATAAAATTCAATAAAATCTTTAACAGAAAATACGAACGAAGAAATAAAATTTTCCACAAAATCTTTTGTAATCAAATATCTATGCTTTTATAACTCGAGTAAGACTCCATCCACCCTACACATCCATCACACTGCGCGGCTCGCGCAAAACTGATTCTCGTTCGAGGTATCGCGAGCGCGAAACCGAGGTCACGTGCCACTAGTCATGTGACCATCTGTTCCGCGCTGTGATACCCCGTACGAGAATCAGTCTCGCGCGAGCCGCGCATCGTAGTGGATGTTGGATGTACTAATATGATCACGTGATCAGTTTCGCGCGAGCCATGTACGTAGCGGACGCATACAGACGCACGAATCTAATAGGAAGTGCAAATATTTTGATCGATAGATTTTTGTAGAAAATTATTTTTTTACTGTTAACATTTATATGTTGAGTTTTTTGAACCACGTGATTAATAAGTATATATTTTTATGCTTGCATTGCAATAATAATTTTACATGCATTGCTCGCTTCACGTACGTAATTATATTCGATCACGTTCGTAATTAAACTTAACAAAATAAGAAAAAATATATAAAAAGATACATATATACAAAATAGTTCTTTAACAATATAATAGCAATTCGATAAATTAAAATTATGTACATAATAGAAATTTGGCAAATTAAAATTATGGTCATAGCATTAAGCAACTATCATTCCGAAAATTAACAATTTGACAGTTGTAAAATACTAAACAATAGAAATGATACAAAAGAAGCACGCGCTCATGTTGTCTATAGTTCTTATAAGTTTTACATAAAAAGAAAACGAAATTAAACAATTGATTTATTTAATTGATTTATTGATTTATTTATCTGTATGATATGCGAGCGAAACGTTTTACATCAAGAAATTCTAATTTGAGTATCTCAATAAATAAAACAAAAATTTTTATTTATAGTTAACGAAATTAATTTTAATAATGTTTAAAAGAATATACATATAAAATATATGTATATTATATTTAATATATGAAAAAATATTAAACACAATGAATTTTCAATATGGTAGTAAAAATGTGACTAAAAACAATGAAAAATACAACTATGACAAAATAATTTTTCATTAGTATAAAAATATGCTTAATAAAAACTTATTGCATAATGTGTATAAAACTTCAATAGACCGCAAATAATGTATATTATATTTAAGTATAAAACGTGTAAAGTTGTTACTTACTTGTTCTATTATTAATTCTCCAGCATAACAATAGAAAAACATTTGTAATAAAAGAGTAATGATTTCAACCATCATGTAGCATATTTGTAAGAAATTCTCAGCATTTATCTTCTCATTAGTATTAATTTCCTGAATAAAATTTTACTAATTATTAAAAATGGATCAATATAATAATAAAAATAAATAATACATAAATGCACACTACATCATGCACAAACTACTTATATACGTATCTTAGAAATTAATAAAACACATTTAACACAGTTTTATTTTAATATATGTTACCAAAACTTACAACAAGCAATACAAATCCAGCTAGACAAAATACAATGGCAAAATACATTATCGATCCTAGTATCATTAAAGTGAATATATTTTTGATATTATTAACGTACCTTCAAAGATAGAATACATTAAATATAGTTAATGTATATGAACATCAATAAAAACTGTACTTAATATAAATTGTACAAAACACACGATTAATATTATACAATACATATATGATAATTATCTGATAATAACATATATAGTTATAGATAATTTTCTCGCGCATTGTAAGTGCATTGAAAATCACAATAAAATTTTCAAATTTGACAAATTAAATTTTAGAATCGCAATAATTTGATATAATTTAAATATTTTAAATGTAAGTAGAATGCACTATTTTTACAAAGAATGGTCTGCAATTTAATTTAAATACAAAACTTAAAAAAAGATAAGAAGAAATCTCATTTATATATATAATAATATTTTTAATCATCGAATATTATGCAATTAGATCACACATGAAAAGAAAGTTAAATATAAGAAAATAAGAATATTTAACTAAAAATCGATTTCTTCAAAGTTTTGTTAAACTTTTGAAATTCTATCGTATCATAATTAAAATCCATACCTGATAAGTTTTAAGTGAGTTATTACGTTATTATTCAGAACTTTGTCGAAATCTTTTCCCGGGATCAAATTGATTAATCGACGTCTGAAATTTTCTAATTGACCGCAGACATGAAAAATCACGAATACGAAAAAAGTATCTATCGACATGTAAATTATCATAGCTAAAAGCAGCGATATGAATTGACTAAGATATGTTAACTCGAACTGTGGACTCTTATCTGTATCGTATAAATAATATGTTTGCAGCAATAATGGTCTGTTTTGATCCGTGAGATTTGTCACATGCCTGAACGATAAACCGAACCAAGGTAACATAGATACTACAATTAGTGTCAGTATGAACAGAACATTCAAATATATTACAAACAGTCGAGCAGTTCGCGAACGCTTTATCATTACATTTCTTTCTGCATCTATCAGATTCAACGACATCCAATCTTCTCTAATCATGTTTATAATTGATAAGATAACTTGAAAATGTAAAAGAACGATATCAAAAATATGAAAATAATTAAATAAGTTATTTTTAATAATTGACTGTTTGTTAATTTATGTATTGTACATCGAAGAAAGTCACATAAAAGAGACACATATTATATATACAGTTAATTATAAGTATATAATTTTGATCTTTAATATTTTTGAAATATATAATAATAAACAATAATAACAATATTTTCTGCAGTATGACTATAATAATAAATTAAGTGCAGTAATAGAATTCGACAAAGAAGAAATCTATATGTATAGCTACATCAAATTCTATTATATACGTACATATGTTCTATATAAATCATACCTGATTGCTTTCGTTGCATAATAATATATTTTAATAAAATCATCAGCGCAGGTAATGTAATTCGCAAATTGTCTATCATTAGCGTCATGTTACCCCAAACTCGTATAAGTGCATGTACAAGAGGAATACCCCAGACAAATGTTAGCATAATACAAATGAAAGCCGCACGATAGTTAGAACCGAGATTTTTTTAGCAATTTCATCAAATTTAGGCCATAATCCGACCAATTCTAAGCTCAGGCGGTTTAATTCAATTGCCCATACGAAATCTTTAAGCAAGACTTATTTAAAAAACTTGTTATAATTACAAATGCCTAAATGTAAAATTTTTTCAAAGCGTTGAAAATGCAATGTATGTACAATACATATTATATAAAATAATACAATATTTATAGTACTAATTTAAAAGCATATTGAAAATTTAATTTAATACATATAAATGAAAAATGTATGATATAAGCTTATTCATACCTTTGTAACCTGAAGATTCCGACTTATCCATGTCAAAGGCCAATATAAATGCGTGAAGAGAATAATTCCCTCTCTATGATGTTAAACGATTATCACATGCTTGTAAGGCGAATACAGCAACCTAACTGCATCGTCGAAGGCTACATTAAATATTTAAAATGCTACTATAGTCTTTTACAGTTGCCTGTTTTGTAAAACTTTATAGACGTATTAATAGTTACAAACTATTATCTGTTTTCTTCTTCTCTGTTTTTTTTGACAGGCCGAGATGTATATTGTATCGCTATATATCATCGGTCTTGTACTAAAAGTTTTTTCGTACTTTAAAACTTTGTTACGTTCCATGTACGTTCGTCTATTGCGAAGATATAGTAACGTGTAATTACAGCGTGTTGTGTGGTTGAAAAAATTTTCCATAAAGCGAAATACAGCAAAAAAAAAAAAGAAAAAGGTACAATAAAGTAGTAGCGTCGCTTTACCGCTTTACATATTTTTCATGTTTGCAAGAACACATTCGACGTAATAGGAGTGCAGTAGACGGACAAATTTTTGAAATTGCAAATTTCTTCTTTAATATACGAGAGAAATATTTAAACTTATAGTTTTCATCAAGCTATTTTTAAAACAATTATGATTGTAATTTTTAAACAAGAATAATTACGAGCCCATAAAACACAGAAAATACATAAATGAAATAAAACGTTTTTTTCTATAAGGAATATAATTATTATTTTTATTAATAATTTTAAGTGGAGAAAAACATATCCTGCAATTGCAAAAAAAGAAGACAACAAGGCACAGAGAAACTCAGTGATTTCGGTGCAAGAATTTTTTTATTTTCACGTGATATAACAAGAATGACAAAAGCGCACATGCATCAGGTAATGGAAAATCACTTTTACAACACATTAGCGAGACATGTATCACAGAAAGAACGAAATGTCTAATTGTAAGTACGTATTTCATTATGATTGGTTGTACACTCAGACATATATGTGCGAGAAACAATAAAAATTACAATTAAGAAAAAAGTTTAACAAGTTCCATTTTATTCGAATTGAGAAGAGCAACCTCTTTTTATCGAAGCATACCTGGACATTATTTCCTAAAAAATGATAATGTATTTTACAATAAATTAATACATGTCCATCGAACATATATAAACATATAAAATACTGTAATAATATTATTTAATTTTCATATTTTTTATCAAATAAATAATATTAAATTACTATATCAATTTCAATTATTGATAGAAGGATAGATACGTAGCCAGCCGATATTTTTTAATAGCTAAAAATAATATATATAAATCTTAAATCAAATTGTTAACATGTAAAATGATTATTAATAATTTAATTTAAAAAGTGGTCATGTTAGCGGAATGAACTTTTTGCAAATAATGCGAAAGGGTTCATTTTAATAAAAAAAAAGGAATAATTTTTTTTTATATAATAGTGATATACATGCATCTGTGTAATCCAAATACCATATATAGTATATTGGATCGCATAATAAAAATGCACACATACATACACACACAACACATACAAACACAAATTATATATTATACATATATATGGACAATATTAAACACATTATAATTTATATATATATATATACAATAATATATATATGATAATATGCAACTTACATGTTCTGTTATTAATTCTCGCCCCCGACCAATTGACTAATCTGTGTCTGAAGTTCTCTAATTGAAACAGATGAGATCACAACTAAAGTAAGTACCGACGTTAAGTTATCATAATTTGAAACGTCCCTATGACATGAATAAAGTATGTTATCTCGTACTGCAATCTTATCCGTGTCGTAGAAATAATCAGTCTGAAGCGGTAATACGTTTCGTGTCTGGTGACAAATTTTTTGATGTCTGAATGAGAACTTACAGGAAAAACGACGAGCCCGGTGAATATGCTTATCGCCAGAATTGTGCACTTATTACAATCAGATTAGAGATGTGCATATATTTTCATTACATTCTTGCGCTAGACTCTGTCATCCAACTTCTTTAATCATGTTTATGACCGATTAATCACTTGACAATATAACGATAGCATATAATTATAAATAATTAAAAATAATTATATTTAATTTATTGTTACTTATTAATTTATATTTCGCGAAGATAATCACAAGAAAAATAAACACATTAAAATTTTAATTTAATTAAAAACAATTATTTAGAATAAATTATAAAATATAAAAATTTTAATATTTTAGTGATACTATATAATTTCTTGATAATAATATTATTTTCAATGAAAATGATTAAATTTTAATTCTAAATTAAATAAAGAAAAAGAATGTATAAAAAATCTATAACTAATTCCATAAAAGTATTCGCATACAAGTAATAAGTTTAAAGTGAAGAGAATAAGGTTTATGACGTATCTAATAAGTTATTATTTAATTATTTAAAATTCTTCTTCAAGATTTAATCTATCTAAATTAATTCTGTGAAAATTTATTATCAATTTAATATCAGAATGAATATTTTTAGTCAAAACCCAATTTTTGGCCATAAGCCGATCAAACTAAGCTCAGTCGGTAGCTTTATCTGAAATCTTTAAGCAAGAATTTTAATTGAAAATTGAATGTTTAATTTTTTGTAATTGACCACACATATGAATAATCACCAATAATAAAAGTGTATTTACCCCAACGTAAATTAATAATAACTTCCAAGACTGTTATGTATTGAGCAAAAAATGTCAAATCAAATTGCAGACTTTTATCAGTGTCGTCAACGTAATAAGTTTGCATAGGTAATGGCTTATTCCGATCGTGAGATTGGTTATCTGTCTGAGTGGTTGTTGAAATAAGGACCATGCTGTAAAAAATAAATGCCATGCTGTTGTAACGTAACTATAACCTTTTTATAAGTGCGAGCGGTCCAAGCGCGCTTTAGTTATTACATCCCTCTCTGCGCTTAACTTTAGCGACAAGAATCCTCGCTATCTGTTTATGAAGATAGCAGAACTTACAATCATAAAAAACGCGCAACGATAAAAAAATATAGACATACATTATAGTTACTTGTGTGTTAATATGAAAATATCGAAAGAAAACTATGTACACATAAAAAAATTTACTAATAAAATACAGCGTAATAAAAATGTACATTTTTTATTTCGTTATCATAATCAGATGTGTGATTAATAAGTAACAAGTCAAACTCTCTAAAATGCAATTGTGAACGCAGAAAATTTCAAGTTAAGAGTGTCGCTTCTTCTCTGCACGACAAGAACGCGATATCCAAATCTATATCTTGATCGGATTATTTAATGATAATAATGATTATAATATTAATAAAGAAGAATAACATAATTTACGTAAAATAGAGAACGTCGAGGTATGTAATCTAATTTCTTTCTTTTTTCTATGTATTTATTGCTTTTTATTAATAATGTTAACTCAAGGAAAATATATTTTTATTCCTCAGATTTTTATTTACTTGAATTAATGTTGTGCTAAAATGTAATGTCAAAATATCAGTTTAATTCTCCTTTAATTCTGCATTGTCAATAAAAATGATATGTAACCAGCCGATGTTTTTAGTAGCTGAAAATAAACATATCTATATATAAAAACTTTAAAAAAACTATAAGATAAAATTTTTTAACAAATAAAATAATGACACAGTTATTTATGTTCTATTTCTACTCATAATTTCGATATTGAAATATCAAAACAGTTATAAAACAAAAACTTGCAATGTTAGCACAAAGTTTTTTCATTTTAATATCTGTCAGAAATAGTCAAAATATTATTAAATTTTCTCTATTTAAATGATAAAAATAATTATTTTATTTTATGGATATCAAAGAGGGAGAGAATGAGCGAAAAGGTGAAGAAATAAGAGAACAGAAGAAAGAAAAAGGGAAAGAGATAAAGGTAGAATAGTTACTAGAAAATATGCGAATAATCTTACGCTGCAAAAAGTAGTCATCGTTAGTGGAACAATATTTCCTGCAGTGATACGAAAAGGTTCCTGAACTCGTATCATTATTATAATAAGATTTCTCGCTTGTTTTGATTTCCATTTATACCACTCAAGATCGTATACAGTACGATATATTGTTTCACACTTATATATATATAACAAAAAAATACTATATAAAGTAAAAATAACATACCCATATTATTTGAAAATATCGACCATTTTTATAAATATTAAAAAATTAAATAATATTTAATTATATGTAAATATACAAAACAATAGTATCCCTTTCTAATCAATTATCGCAAATATTGTTGCTGCTTTTCCGCAATACTGATTAGTTGACTCGATTCACATTGTGTGTTATATTAATAGCATCAAATAATTGCTATCATGAAAATAAATAGTTTGACAGTTGCAAAATAAATAATAAAAATAATATTAATAATGCGCGCAAAGCGCATAAAAATACATTAATTAATTATGCAACGCATAGAAATTCAATATTTAAATCTTTAACAGAAAATACGAACGAAGAAATAAAATTTTCCACAAGAATCTTTTGTAATCAAATATCTATGCTTTTATTAGACTCGAGTAAGACTCCATCCACCCTACACATCCATCACACTGCGCGGCTCGCGCAAAACTGATTCTCGTTCGAGGTATCGCGAGCGCGAAACCGAGGTCACGTGGCCACTAGTCATGTGACCATCTGTTCCGCGCTTGTGATACCCCGTACGAGAATCAGTCTCGCGCGAGCCGCGCATCGTAGTGGATGTGTGGAATGTACTAATATGATCACGTGATCAGTTTCGCGCGAGCCATGTTACGTAGCGGACGCATACAGACGCACGAATCTAATGGAAGTGCAAATATTTTGATCGATAGATTTTTGTAGAAAATTATATTTTTTACTGTTAAACATTTATATGTTGAGTTTTTATGAACCACGTGATTAATAAGTATATATTTTTATGCTTGCATTGCAATAATAATTTTATACATGCATTGCTCGCTTCACGTACGTAATTATATTCGATCACGTTCGTAATTAAACTTAACAAAATAAGAAAAAAATATATAAAAAGATACATATATACAAAATAGTTCTTTAACAATATAATAGCAATTCGATAAATTAAAATTATGTACATAATAGAAATTTGGCAAATTAAAATTATGGTCATAGCATTAAG